AGTATTTTATAAGTATTTTAAAATTCTAGATATGACATGTGACAGAAAATTGCTAAACCATATCATATACTATATAACCCATGATATTCACAACACCAACTTTAATACATACCAAAAAAAAAAAAAAAAATAGTAGTGATAAATTGCTAATACATGCATACCCATGCATTATATATATATATATATAGGTAATATGTAGAGAGAGAGAGAGAGAGAGAGAGAGAGGGTGGAGTGAATTGCCGAGGGACAGGGGCAGATTCCAAGTTTGAGCATAATAAAACCACATGGGTTGTTGTGGGAGCTAATTCGTGTAGCTTGGAAGCAAAATATAATATATATATATATATATATCTCAAAAGGCTTAATTAATATTGTGCTATCACTGATTAAATAATACAGATGTGGATGGAAAAAAAAAGGTGGGGTAGTTGGGGGTGTTTGTCTTCATTCCCAAAAGGCTGATTTGACGTAGGTAAGACACAAAAATAAAGTTGAGGAGCTACGTGGGGTTTCTGAGGAAAATGCCATCTTCCTTCTTTAATAATCCTCCTCTTTTTCTCACTCTCTCTCTCTCTCACTGTCACACACACACCCCTTTTCTGCAACCCGACACCACAAGTGGAGCTTTCCTTGTGATCAAAGTGTATGTATATATATATATATATATATATATGATATGTTTATCTCAAACTTAATTTAAAATTGAAGAGATAGATAAGGGGAAAGAGAGAATGATTAGGGGTAGTGATTTGTGTTACGTGTCATTTGCCTGTGGTAACAACTTATTCGTGTTGTGTTATATAAGTCAACACAAACAGTTTGATTTTAATAATGGTGTTAATTAGAAACTTTAAACACAAATAAATGTGTTAATTCAAAGAGGATGGTCTAGTTCAAAATACCTCATGAAGTATGAGTAAAGTTCAATTTTTTCTTAGTGTAAATAATTTCTTATGGTTTACGTTCGCGAACTTTATCCTATTTATGTGGAGGTCGTCTTGTACAAGTCCCGTTAATTAATCAGAGAAAGTTCTGAACACTCCGATTGATTTTATGAAACAAGTAACATGTTTAATAGTTAAATTCTGTTTAAATTAAGTAGATCATGTAACTTGATTTTAAGTATAAAATTCAAATATAATGAAAAATAATATAATTGATGACTAAATTAATGAAAATGGTTCTACGTTAATTGGATTAAACTTATACAAATAATTAAAGGATCTAATTGAATTACAGAGTTTGAATCTCAAAATACGAACACCATACTAAAAACAATTAAGCTCAATTTAAATTCGACGTGTTATGTTTGAGTCATATTTATACATAGTGCCAAAAATTGTCACGGATCCTATAAAGGGGGGAGAGAGAGAGAGAGAGAGAGACCGAGATTGGTCGTTTATATGGCATTTTGATTATATATCTTTTATAAATTAAAAAAATATTTGGGTTAAGTGTAGAAAACATTCATATAGTATGCTTACAGAGCGTATCATACTCCTCATGTGCAGAAATACCTATAAAATTTCAATACACATATATATTTTTTGTACTTTCCTTTGGGAGGTAAGAGACCGATACCGCTAGGCTTCTGGCCCATTAGTGGTTAGTGATTGAACATTTATTTGTTTATTATTATTTTTTTCAATAAAGATTGAAGATCCATTTATTACTATGTAAAGAATTATATATATATATATATATATATGTGTGTGTGTGTGTGTGCGCGCGCGCGCGCGCGCGCGCGCGCGCGTGTGTGAAAATTTATTGCAAATTCTAAAACTCAAACAATTATATGTATGTTGTTTATATATAATGAATAAGTATCTTTAATTTAATTTTTTAATTATATATTTAATGAAAACTGATAATTATATTAAAATTTAACTGGGAATAATTTTTTTTTCTTTTTTATAATTATAAAAGGAAATGAACTTTTCATTCCATATGATATACTATATATTAATTTGACAGTTGTGACAACAAAATATATATTTTTTCAAGAGGCCGGGATAATACATTGTTAGTAAAAATATATGAAGATATATTTTTTTTCTTTCGAAAATTTGAGAAAAAATTCTTGAAAGTAGGTTAAATATAATTAATATGTGCATAACACTCATATACTATGAGATTATTAGCATACACACCCCCTTGTGCATTTTTGAAAGAGTAAAATGGCAAAATTATTACTTTATGTTAGATTTATGATTGAAAGGTATTTTGTAAAATCTTTAAAAAATATAAATATTTTTTGCACACATTTTAAAATAGGGTAAAAATATTACGCAAACTATATATTAGAAGTATTTTTTACACTTGATCCTATAAAATAAAAAAAAATAAAAAAAAACGGAAAAAAAAAAAAATCTATTGAAGGACAAATTTTTTTTTTGGTTTTCAAAATCCTTTCCTACCGACGCGTTTTCATAAAGAGACTTTAGACTAAAAACATAAAGAGACTTTAGACTAAAAACTCGAGTGTTATTTCCCTATCACTCCTTATTAGCTTCCACTACTTCCCATCTCAAAATTTTTTTGTTTATCAAAATCCTATCCTACCAAGTACCAAGGGCCCATCAGTATTGATGGTTCAATGAAAAACACATTTTTTTTCACTAAAGGAATAAAATTATTGTATTGAGAAGAAAAATAAATAAAATTATTATTCATTAAAAAACATGTTAAGTTTTTAGTGATACTTTATATAAAATAATATTCATAATTAAAGTAATTCTTAATGTGTTGTAACAATTAGGGGTGACAATTCGTGTTCGTGGGTCGTATTTGTGTCGTGTCGATATAAGGGTATTATACTACTCCTTCCGTCCCATAAAAAGTATCATTTTTGGGAACCGTGACTCTCACAAATTGAACTGTTACAGTTTTCCAAAAGCAGACACTTTTAAATAGGTAAATCGAAACCCAACCCATTTAATAATCATGTTAAGATAAACGTATTAACCCAGATATTTAATATTTAATCAAATACTAAATAATAGCAAAAAATTATCATAATTAACCCAAGTATTCAAAATAAAAAGAAAAATCATAAGGCATAGATAAGGTTTATGTTGAAATAACTCAACGGTTCATAGTAATTGGGTTTAAACAGGTAACATATTACATAGGTCATATTCACGATTATAATACGTTAAGTTAAATGAGTCATAAACAAGTTACACGGGTTGAACCCCTTAATCCTAACCTGACACGGTTAAGTAAACAGATTAATCGTGTTGACTCTTTTATGACCCAAACCCGTTTATGTCAAATCCAAATCCTTTTAACTCGTCTCGTGTTCGTGTTGTATTGTTGTATTGTGTCGTAATTTGCCACCCCGATAAACAATATTGTTTAAAGCATTTATATGCTTATTTCACAATAATGCTCTTTAATAAGGTGTACATATGATAATAGTAGGAATTAATAAAAGATGAGATAAAATTGTTTTTTTTTTATAAGATATAAAAAAATAATTATTTAAGAAAAAATAGTTACCTAATATATAGATACTTTACTGAGTCCACCATTTAAAAATTTAAAATTTTAAACACCATTCAAAAGTCAGCTAAAATTCTACCATTTAAAAGAGTTTTTCTTTTTCTTATTTAGGTTACTAAATAAATTTAAAAACAAAAAATTAAACTAAAAAAAGTTTTAAATGGTTCAACAGCAATTCCATACAATCTCTAAGTGAGAAGTATTTATATGTGTTATTTCTCCATATTTTCACATTAATGGTTGAGAATTGAAATCTTTCAGGAACATATTAGATGTGTTTACCAAAATAATAATAAATAAATAAATAAATTCTCATTTAAGACATATTTCATCTTTTTACTTTTAATATTATAGTAATGAGGTGAGAGATGGTCAAAATTGACTTCGATAGATGCAATTATCAAAATACCCTTAATTCACACCCCAAAATTGGGAAACCCATAAAGCAACGTACTAAAAGTCATCATAAATATGAACCAATTTCAAGCTTTTGAAGAAAAAGACAAGATGGAGAAAACAGTTGGGGTTGAAGTTTGACACATTCGTGAACCTGTTGCATCATTTCCACGAATAGTGATTTTCTCGTCGACCAAACACGTCCTACTCCATAAGATTAATTCGTGAACCTTATCCAGGATTTGCAAAAGATCGAGGGTGTTGCTAGCTATTAATAAATGAGGACAGATGGATATGCATGGTTAGGAGTCAATGGGCCACAACGTAATTTCCCTAGCTAGCTAGCATTTGTTGTATTTAGGCACGATGGCAACAATTTTTGGTCCCTTTAGTTGCCGCCACTTTGTGGGTTCACATTCTTCCAGTGTAAATGTCGTTTTCAGTTTGCGCATGCAATTAATGTTTTGGCCTTGGACCACTGTTTTGCTTTGGAAGAGTCAATGTTGTTGCGAAAGTATCTCCATTTACGTAAATGGAATTTAAGAGGTCGGTTGTCTGTTGGCTGTGTTATGGGACATCCATTAAGTTGCCTTTTGGTTTCTACTTTGGGACAATGCTTCCAATTCAATGTATATATGTGTCATGTATATATGTATATATATAGTCAGTTTTGTTTGGATAAAAGACATTAATTACACTAAAAAGATCATTATTATTATTTAGGATTGATTAACAAGTGTATATTTGTAATATTACAATATTCAAGGAACTTTTGTGACTAATTTTTAACTAATTACATCAATGACGTGGCTAGTAACTGTTGCTAGCATTAATCTTAATATAAGACAGCAATACACAAGATAAGGTGTTTGTCAACATGTATTGTAAGTTAAGACCAATAAGAACATAAATGCAAAAAGTCAATTTTTGACAACCATTTAAGAAAATTGTCATAGCGGTGCCCACGTGAAACTAACCATGATTTTTTCACAAACAAAATACCAATAATGCCCTTCAAACGAACAATGCTTTCCGAAGCATGACGATAAAACTACCTTAAACACAATAACACGAGATTTTTTTTTTTTACAAAGGTGACATAAAAAGGAATGCCTCATCTTATTAATCATCGTCTATGTAATTAAAAAATATTTTTAAGAGAACTAGTGTAACTACATATACGTAAAAAATTAAATAATTAAAAAAGGGTTAGAACCGTTCAAGATTCTATTACTCTCCCTCATTTTGCTTCTGTTTTTATCCTTTTCCAACCGTTGGACTCACCCGCCAAACAGTTGAGCTATATTTACATCTCTGTCCAAGAGAAATAACTAAATGCCAAAAGTATTCACTCTTATACTCTTTCAACCATTACTGTGATTTTACTTGGTAGCCAATCTCCATTGCTTGGGCTATCCGAGACGTTGTCGAGTTCGAGCCGGACGACCATAGCTTCATCGGATGAGGCAATGCTGGTGGAGGGAAGGTGTGCCTTGAGCTGGTGGAAGCTGGGAAGCAAGACCTTTTCCGCCCACTCTCCTAAGCCAGTTTGACCAATCCATATCCCGCCCAAAATCTTCTCAAGAGCCTCATTTTCCACTTGTATTGAAAGCTTATCAATATCTACCACAGAGTGAAACTTCTTTGTGATTGCGTTTTCAATCTCCCTGCGAATGGGGCCACTGGAGACAGGTTTGAATAGGATGGCATCATCCAAGGAATCGACCAAATCATGAGGCAGTGATGTAATGGAGAATCTCTTGTTGTCAAGGCCATGCTCGCTTTCATGATCAATGGTGAGATCGCTTGAATTGTGAGACCCATCGGTCCTATCATCTTCAATGTCAGCCACTTGATTAAGGTCAAAAGATAGACCAGAACCGATTTCTTTCCTAGGCTTTGTCGGCCTGTCTTCATCGTGTAGCCAGTTTGCAGGGCGCTTGGCACTCTTTTCACCGATGGATAGCCTTAACTGCCAACTGCCACTTGCTAGAGAAGCAAGCTTCTTTTCGTCAAGCAAATCACCATCTAGTGAGCTTTTGAGATTATCCGGCACCCCATTTGCAGTGAGTATGAATATAACATTCCCAATGCTGATCTCACGCCCATGAGAGTCAATCAGCCGACCTCTCTCCATTGCCCTTTTTATGCTCCCACGCACTAGCATATCTGCTTCATCAATGTCCTCGAGCATAATCACTGAAAATGGATTCCTACGAACTGCCTCTGCAATCCGATCAAGAACTGTTTTACCACGGAAATTCACATCTGATTTCCCATCATCACGTCGTGACCCAAGACATATCATTACTGGATTGGCCCCGCATACTTGCTCTGAAAGAACTGATGCCATCTTCTTCTTGCCCACTCTGTCGGGGCCAGTAAATAGTAGCCAAATGTCACCTTTCGATCCAGCACCCCGCTGTTTTCGATTGCCTAATTTGCACTGGGTCACAGTGTTGGCCACTGCAGAAGCTGCTTCGCGTTGCCACCACACCTTTTCCATTAGACCCTTGAGGAGTTTCTTAAATGAGTCGGCATCTAATTTATTAGCAAATTTTTCGCTCTGCAAAGGGAACTTGGCTTGTGGTTCAGAAGATATGCAGCCCAAGACGTCTTTAGCACATTCTATATGGGGTTTTTCAGGATAGGTCTCAGTTGTCTTTATCGGTCCAAGAAGAAGGTCTGTCCTCACCGGGCTTCGAGGAGGACTACCCGCACAATCCAAATGTTGCCTGGCCACTGGATTAGGATTCAATTGCCGAGTTTCCCCAACATTTCGGGTTTGTTGTAACTTGGGTTGTAATGGATTGCACACAAGCAGGTTTGGATTGTACAAACCTGTGATAGAAAGAGCTGCAGGAACAGATCTCTCAGAACGGAGACTGTTATGAAAATTAGGGTGAACATGCAAGCATGTATCACTCCATTTCTTCTGTAATTCTTGACTTTTCTGCTTGAAGATCATTTCTTGATCCTTTGTCCGTAAAACATGCAAAGAACAACAATAATAAATTTTATTCACTCAAGTACAATCTGGAACTTGTGAAGTTTGTAATTCAATCGACTTAAACATACCTGCGACTGATCCCTTGTTTTGACATCACTATTACAGACTTTAGCATTTTGCAGCCATTGTGGCAGTGGTGGCTGAGTTGCATCTGATATAATTTCAGAAGATGATTTCTCGAACTGCTTTAATTCCAGTTTTGCTAGCTCCTGCTCGTAGTTCTCCTTACATTGTGGGCAACAGCTCATTCTTCGAGCAGGATCCAAGTTCTCAGTGGCACGTCTTGGCAGAGCTGTTGTTGCCATTGGGAAACTCTTCAATGGGCTTAGAGACTCAACTGAGCTGCTAAGAATTCCATTGACTCCCAGCCTAAAAATAAATAAATATAACAGTGACTAAATGGCACCAGAAGAAGAAAGTACAAATTTATGTCCTCGAAGCTTAGAATAAGCAGGTTACCAATTTCTACTTTTTAGAGTTCTGTGAATTCACCTACCAAATATAGGTTCATTGAACTTAAGCTCCCTCTAAGGAAAGGGATAATTAAAAAGAATAAAGTGAAATTCGGAAAAACCAAGGCAGAAAACTCATTACACACCAAGAAAAAGCAGAATGATGATATATAGAGAGGCCAATTTTAGAATAGAAAGAGATGATTATTATTATTTTTTTAAAATCCTGGCAAACTACGGGAGGGGGGACTCGAACATGGGCACACCCATTCGGGTAGCTGGGCACTCTACCAAATAGGCCACTAGGTGAGTGATGCCTTGAAAGAGATGATTGATGCATGCCTTATGGCAAAGGTAAAAGAATTTGAAAACCCAGTGAAAATGTTTGGCTTGCACCGGGTACAGAGAAAATTTGGATACCATTTAGATATAGCATATGTGATTCAGTCCACAAAAACAAGTTCATGAGAAGCATCCATTTTTAATTTACAGCACAACTATTGTTTAAAGCATATTTATAAAGAGAGAATAAAAGATAGAGAATATAATTCTTTAAACAGAAATCTTGGATATTATACTAGATGAAAGATTCAATTTAATTAACCATGGAACTCCAATAATCTAGCAATACAAAAGCAGGTCACCAGAGTGACATAAATTCCACAGTATAAAAGAGAGACTTTTTTTCTGTTGTGACATTCAAATTTGCATGTACAATTACCACTTCAATGACCAATAAGTAAAGCTACTAATTAATATCAAAGCATCATGATGATCTAAACATTGAGAGATCACAAAACATACCTCGGAAACATAGCCGGAAGAGGTGATCTTGAAGCAATTGGCACTGCCTGCAGATCCCAATCCTTTTCCATTGAAGGATGATAGACCTGGCACCTCAAATAAGTCTCACATGTAGCAGTTCCAATCAGCCAAACCCTACCTTTACTACCCTCTCCGAACCTCGCCAACAGCTTCCCCATCTCCGCCACGGCCACACGCCCTATCTCAGAGACAACCTGTTGAGGCACTCCACCTGAACCCCAAACTCCAACACTCACATTCTGCTCAACAAGCCATTTCAAATCACCCAAATCAAGAATAACCCCTGCACCATTCGAACTCCCAATTCGACCTTCTAGTAGGTTCCCCAATTCCTTAACCTTATCCAGCATTTGCATTCTATCTAAGGCAAGCTCCTTCACAATTGGAATCACCTGAACATTCTTGAGTGGTCCTTCATCCAACTCCCCCTTCTCAATTCTCCTCAAAAGCTCCCTCAACATGGTCTCTGGCTCCGAGTCACCAACCAAAACCGGGTTTCTGTTCTTCGTTCTCAACAATATGTCAATAACCCGTTTAATTTCCTCGTTTCTATGTTGACCTGACTGAGCAGAATTCGTTGAATTTCCCTGTTGCAGACGAGGATTCAAATACAGATTACGACTTGGCATCGGAGTTGGTGTTGGTCGAAACCCAATTCCAATCATTGATGAATTTGCAGTACCCGCCTGAGAATTCAGTGATTGTTCAATTGTTGCCTTAACAGCTGGGCTCGAAAAGCTTGCTTCACGCATGACTCTACTCACACTCGGGTCATCAAGAATGGAAATTATGAGCTGACTGAGCTCAACCTTCACTGCAAGAAGTGGCTGCTGTTGCTGCTCGGGGCAACCTCGCCGCTGATGCGCCTGTGCCCGCTTTAGCGCCGCCATTAAAGCATTGGAAATTGGGGGTTCCACGGCGGAGGTGGTGGTTTGGGCGGTGGGGAGTCGGTCGAGGGCCACGCTGAAGCAGAGCTCTAGAGCACGGCACTGAAGAGGGTGCGAAGAATTGGGATGGGATCGAATACAAGCTTGTCGGAGGAAGCCAGACGGCGACGCCAGAAGGGTCGCCGCCACGTGAAGCGGTGTAGTCTGGCCGTGATTCCGACGGCCGGCTTCGGCGATCGAGTGGTTCAGTACACTCGCCGCCTCCGGCGTTAGGGTTTGCTGGATCGTACTTAATCCCGCTCTCATCTTACTGTAGAGAATCAAACAACCTGGAAAGCCTTTTTTTTCAGCTCACAATTGAAACTCTTTTGAATCTCTGATAAACCCCAGAATTAGAATTGAATTCCAAGTTAACTTTCTCCGGATCTTTGAGTTCCGGTGACCGGAAAATCCGAAGCAACCAACAAATGGCACAACTATCTTCAAATTGGGTTTTCAGATACCCGCTATAACGTACTGAATCAACTTCATTCCCACTAATCTGAACAACCCACAAATCCAAAATAAACTTTAAAATTCTCTCCTGATTTAATCAATTCTCAGCAGCCTCAAAAGAGTGGGATCTACTCTCTCTCTCTAAGAGATCGATAAAAGCTAAGACAGTCACTTTTTCGTTCAACCACCAATGGTATGTATCCCAGAACCGGATGAGGAAATGGTAACAAATGTAACGAAAAATATAAAAACAAAACCAACTTTTTCATATATATTACAAAGAAAGCCAAGTGTGACAAATTAGTTTAAAATCAAGAGTATGGTAAATGCACCTTTTATTTTAGAGAGAGAAAGAGAGAGAGAGAGAGAGAGAAAAACAGAGGTGATGTAAAATAGTAAAGGTGGGTACTTTCAGTTGCAAGGATTTCTGAAAAATGCTTTCTGGGCAGAGTGATCTATTCTACTTTTTGTGTCATCTTTTATTTTTTTTTTATTATAATTTTTGTTTAATATTCTCTTGTCTCAATACAATAAGTATAATGGAGAGAGAACTTTTTAGGGAGATGAGAAGCAGATTCATGAGTAGATTACTTACCTCATTTCTCTCTCTAACTTTCTCTCTAGATGAGTTTAGATTGACGCCTTTTTAGGTTGTTTTTTAGCTCTTCCTTTCTTCCTTTGTTGTGTGTATTAGTTTTTATTTATTAGACTTTGCCTTTTCTCTTATATGTGTTGATCGGTAGCGACCGAGCGCACTTGAACAAACGCGCTCTGATACTTTGTTTTGGGATGAGGATATGAAGCTGACGCTCTTCACGCTCGCGTTTGTTAACTTTGTAATGTTTGCTTTTCAACCAATTTTCTGCTTTTTCACACGCAAACCGCTGCGGAGGCATCGCACGAATATTACCTTTTCATACTCGCTCTAACTTTATTTACTTTCTCTCTCTAACTTTATATTTTGAGCACCCATTGTTTTTGTCTTTAACGCGGATTACCTTTAATTAGACCATAAATTATTATTGCTATAAAAAAAAAACTAAAAATATATCATCCAAGACCACATGGTTTGGTTACATGTAAAAAAAAAAAATATAATATATTTATTTATTTATTGAGTTATGATTAATCAGAATTATAAGGTTCAGTATTATATAAAAAATTAGATATTTAAAATGAGACGGATAAAGTATAAATTTTCAAAAATAATAAGAAAAAAAAAATGAAATGAACTTTGACAATACTTAGAGTTCATTAATAAGAGAACTCTTTAAGACTTAATTCCAACTAAATTACCCGAGAAGGCAAACTAAATCTTTATTTAGTTTAGTTCAATCTCAATTGAATTTATTACACATATAAAAATAGAGGTACTTAACTAAGGTAAATGTGTGCAAGTTTAAACTCTATAACTATTTTATTTTATTTTTTTTACAACAGAAATTTGTAACAGTCATTTGAGGGATTTAAACACAATAATGTTAAATTTCTTTATATTTTTATTTTGAATTTTTTTTTAAATGAGAGAAGGATGGCTAAATATTAGATATTAATCTATAATAAAAAAGAGTGCTCTGATTAAAAAATAGGAAACATAGTGAGTCCACATCCATGATTTATTATTATATAATAGAGATCGTAAAATGATAGAAAAACAAAGTGACTTTTTGGGATTCTTAACTTTATAACTTTTGGCTCACAACTTTTTGTGAAGTCTTCAAAGGAAAAAAAGAAAAATCACCATCATCATATTTATTCTCTTTTTGTAACGCACGCTCTCACTTGCCTTTTACGCGTCTTTCTAATTCTACAACCAACAATTCACTTTCTCTCCCTCTCTCTCTTCCACAGCTTTGTTTCCCTCCTCCTCGGTTCCACTTCCACCTCACTTCCATCAAGATATATATATATATATATATATATATATATATATATATATTTCTTAATATTGATTCTCTTAAAATATTTTATAATTTAAGCAATTAGTTTTTTCGTATTTCGTATAAAAAATAATAATATTTGCACTGATTTGTTGAGGTGAATTACTTAATTAATTTTTTAATTGATCATTTATGTAACAAATAAAAAACTGAGGTCTTCAATTCACCTTGTGCATAAATAACTAATCAAAAATATTTAATTATAATTTACTGTATTAAATTAGTGCAATTATCACTACTCCTGTCATATTATTACACTTTTACTAATAATTTTTTTCTAGAGGTGATGTAAGTGATTTTGAACTTTTTTTTTTTTTTTTTAAAAAAAAAAAGAATATAAGGTGAAAGTCTCTTAATAATTTCTCAAGTTAAGATCTGGAGTCATGACCTTTTGCTGTAATTTCTTCTATTATAGTTATTATGTACATTTTTTAAGACACTACATTTATAGATGAGAGGGTGATAAAAATCACTGCAAAACCATTCCAAAAGTAAATATAAATTGTTAAAATTAGAATTTGCATTGAAAATTCCTGCACCAACACCAACAGATGGGGCTATCATTACATTTATTTTTTAACATATTATATCTTACTCAAAAATATATATATAAATTATTAAAAATAAATTAACTCTCTTGAAAATCACTACAATACCTATAAAGGCTATAATGTTTTGTTTGGTAGGATATAAAAAATTTAGATAGAATGGAGACAAGAATAAATAAATAAATAAAATATCTTAGGGATCAGATTGTTGTGTAGTTCTTCCTTCTTTTTGTTTGATTGAATACAAGAAAATATAATAAGATAATATCATATTTTGTTTGTTAAAAAAAAATAAAAGAGAAAATGCTACTTTATAGTTAAAAATTTGTAATTTAAAAACCCCCAATATGTAAAGAGATATAAATTTAAGAAGAGAGAAGAATGATTCATCCATTCCTTTTTTTTTTTTTTTTTATTCTTTTAAATCTTATCTCATCTAATTATATTTCTACCAGACAAAAAACAAGAAAAAAATTATTTTTTCAAAACATGCAAAATACGATGAGAGATCCCAATATTTTATGTAGGTCCATGACTAGCCGACAAAGAGTGAAACCGTTAGATGCGAATTTTAGACAATCGTGACCGTTAATAAATAGTACTTTTTCGGTAAGTTCATCAAATAGTAGTGCTTACTCATCTACACCATCAACTCTTTAAAATATCGCGATATATATGATAATATGAGTGAATTATCCGAGACGATGAGTGTATGATTGGATTAAATTATCGTATCGGACGAGAAGTAAAAGATGACGCGTCGAACGGAAAGCTCCGTTCCTCTTTGATCGAGAAAGAAAGTGAATGCTTGAAAAGCAGATAGACAGAGGGAATTGACTTCAACTTTTTGCATTTATTACGTCGTTGCACTTCCTACTTTTTATGCAAAGTTTGAATGACTATAATGCCCCCTCTTCCTTCTAAGATTTACCATTCCGCACACGAAATTATCAAGTTTTTGAAAAATTATTCCATCATCATCTTCGTTTTATGTTAATGATGTCATCATTATTGTCTTATTACATGTGAAAAGAATTGGCCAGAATATTATACTATCATTAACTATTTCTTTTCATGCATTGTATTTAATCATTTTCTTTGACAAAATTGTTCTTTTTATCTTATTTAAATCTGGCTATTAGAGTTGAACTTTTGGAGTTTGTGCCAATGGTGGTCTCTAACTTGCAATACAATTGTCATTATTAATTATTTAAATTAAGAATAGAATTGAAAAAATTATTAAATAATCCTAAATTATGTGATTGATCCAGTTCAATCAAACTCTTTAAAGTGAATCCAAAAAATTTAATAATATATAATAAAACAAAATTTGAATGTGAATTTTGATTTGGATTGAATAATGAAATGATATTTAACATGGTACGGTACTATTTAATAAATTTTAATTTAATTTTATTTCTTTAAACTAAATATAGGAGGGCACGTTTAATTTGTAACTTTGAAAATAGTTATGAGAAATTTAAAAAATAAAAAATAATTTTTAGAGAATTATAAAAGATTATTCTCTAAAAATAGTTATTTTTATAACTGAATTTTTATAAAACTGAACCAAACAGTCCGATGATTTTTAACGTCAAGAATATCTACCATCTATTACCCCCTTAATTGAGCTAAGGGAGACATAAATTAACCAAATTTGCCAAATTTTAGATTATCTTTCTAAATTAGAACATATTCATAACATGCTCATGAATTGTTTAATGCTCATGCAATAACTTTCATAAAAAATAGAAATTTATTTATTTATGTATTTATTTATTTTTTAACGAAAAGAACGACCATAGCATTAAGAAATAGGATAAAAATGAAAAATAAAAAATAAAAAACTCATCTTAATTACTCAAAAGTTCAAATGTCATAAATGGAGTTTACTTTGACTTACTCCACGTACAAAGTCCAAAGCCATCAATCTCTTTTTGACTTTGAACAGCAAATAATTTGATCAAATGGCCATAGCCACACGTTACGAATTTTCATGAACTAGGACAGCTAAACAAATTTTCAGTTTTGAGCAACCCAAGTCAAGTTTAATTATTATAAATGCATGTTGCTAACTTAGATCATTATTCTTGTCTTGTTATAAATTTGGTTTGTTATATATATGCAAACGTTGATTATTCTTCCATTTCGGGTCACATATAACAATAAGAAAAATAATCTTTAAAAAGGAAGATATTTTATTTTATGAATTATGGTTATTGAAGTAGCTAAAAGCCCAAATTTTGCATCGTAGCGTTACTTCTACTCTAATAGCATCCAAATGACATGTAAACACAAGAAATGAATTGCATTCAAACAAACAGGGTGTGTATACATATGGAGTAAAGTTTAAACAATACTCTTATAGTAAGTTTATAGTGCATATCATATATTTATGTGTAAAAAATATCTTTAAAATTTTAATTTGGTGCAAATTAGTCCCTTCTAACACATTTAAATTATAATTTGACTAAATTACCCTTATATACACATTTTTTTATATATTATTTAAAAATGTATCATTTTATGAAATGATAAAAATTGTCATTTAACACATGAGGGGTGTGATATGCACAGTAAATATACTATAATAGTGTTTCCTGCATTTTATAAACTATTATTATTTTCAATCTTTTGATCTTGGTTAGATTTAACTGAGAACATAATTTTATTATGATTTGAATAGTATCACGACGGTAGGTGGCTGAATATCATTTTTTTTTTTTTTCAATAAAGATTGAACACCCAATTGTTGCTATGTGTGCGCGTGTGTGTGTGTATATTTGTTAAAATTATTACAAATTTTAATGTTTAAAAAATTAAATGTATATTGTTTATATATAATGAATATGTATCTTTAATTTTTTTTTAATTATATATTTAATGAAAAATGATAATTATAATAAAATTTAATGGGAGTATTTTTTTTTATTTTATATAATTATAAAAGAAATTGAGGTTTTCATTCCATATAATATACTGTACATTAATTTGATAATTGTGACAATATTTTTTTTTTTGAGGGAGATTATACAAAGCGAAAATATATAGAGATAAATTTTTTTTTTCCAAAAAGACCATGTGAGAGATTATTCTTAAAAGTGGGTTAAATATAGTTAATGTGCATATAACACCCCAATACTATTAGATTATTAATATACACACTCTCTTGAACATTTTTGAAAGAATAAAAGGACCATACGGGTATTACAATATTACTTTATTTCAAATTTTTAATTAAGGGAGTATTTTTGCACCATTTTAAAAAAATATAAATGTTTTAAACATTTTTTTAATAGGAATAAAAATACTACGTAAAATATACATGTGATGAAGGAAAATAATTAAATTCGTGCATATACCTATCATGTCTGAGTATAATTAATTGAATAAAATAATTTGCTAAAGGAAATGTGAGACATTATATGGTCGTGCATGAATGTCATATTTTTGGTACTGCAACTTGCAAGGTAGAGTATATTACTATATATATATATAGAGAGAGAGAGAGAGAGAGATGTCTTTAGAAAGCTACTTGCTTTTGTCTCAAATATGCCCGCTTCTTAAGCATGATACAATAAATTCATAATGATACCTTCCACTTCAAAAAGGCCCAAGTTACCTCTCAAACCCTCCTTCCTACTTTTAACATCCTTGGATCTTTTTCCACAATTCCACTTTTCCACTTGTTTGAATATTTGAAAATCAATCAATCAATCTCTCTCTCTCTCTCTCTCTCTATATATATATATATTATATAATGTTTTATAAAATAATTACACTTACCTCCCGTATAAATTGTTTAAATAACAAGAACTTTCCCTATGGTTTCAAAAATAACATAATCTCTCTTGACTTTGATCCGAATGTATTAAATAACTGTTATACCCATTTTACTTTTATTAGTCCAACATATAGACAAAATAGTATTTTAACGTTTTTTTTAAGGACATTTTCAATTTTTAAATAAATTTTAAGTATGACATGCACAGATAAATATCAAATTTTGTGATAAGAGAGGCTAGAATTAGTCAGAATTACTCCGACTTGAATCAACAGGAACGTTAGTGTTATATTTAGAAAATCTATAGGAAAATGAGTGTAATTATTTCTTATTTCACCCTAGCATCACTGTCAAGAGATTAAATGAACACTATCAACAGTATATATTGCTTGGCATTTGGTTCCTTCAAATGGGATAGAGAAAAGTTTTCCCTACCCACATGCCATGCCTTTTTCACCCCCACCCCACCAATAATGGAAGAACCTTGATTCAAAGGACCCCCTTTTTTTCGTCCAAGTAAAGATTGCTTTGATCAACCAATGACCCCATTTGTAAGGATTTCATACACTCTTCTAATTGCTAAAGTACATTAATTTGAACTATTACAACCCCAATAGGCCCCAATATTGCCACAATTCAATTTCCCATTGATGGATCGATGATCAATAAAAAGTTTCTCCCGGATTGGGCTAATTGATGGAATATTATGAAACAGAGGGACCCATCTCTCTTTTCACTAGTGCAAGCCAAACCCCCCCTCTATATATGTTATGTCTGTGTAGTACTATACACACACACAAATACATACACACACACACACGCATATTGTAATCATGTCATGAGGGTCAAGCTTTAAGCAAACACATAACAACAAATCACTCACAGCTGGGGGAGAATATTTGAGAGCTATCCAACCCCTCTAAAAGGTTTCGGTAGCTTCTTGCACTCAAAAGCAAGTAGACTTTGAGAACCCCCTCTATACCTTTTATAATTGTTTAGAATATATATAGGAAAGTGGCCTAGCTTTCTAATGAATTAGGAAGAGAACCACCAATCAAGCAAAAGATGACAATTGCTTCTTACTTTTTTTTCAGTAGAAGAATTGTGTCATCATTTCTTAAAATACTAGATCAAAAGGAAAAAAGTTAAGGTTTTCATGTGCTAAATCTGATTCTTGAATTAGAAATCTACAATAGTGCATCACTAAATTATTTGCAACTAATCAGTCTTCGCTAGTCTGAATTCGAAATAAGAAAACAATTTCTTCGCATGTAAAGATAAAACTGCGTGGATCAGACCTTCTATGGGAGTCTTGACACCAATTGGTGTGGAGAAGTTGAAACCTAATCATGGATAGGTACTGCCCCATCAGAAATATATTTTCTTCTTTGTTAAAAGACAAAAGAGAGATGCCAAATCTCCACCTAAAAGCTTGGTTTGAAAGAACATGGCATCTACTTCTTTTTAACTTTTGGAGTTCTATCTGGGAATCCTTGAGAATTACTAACTACTATATATATATAGAGAGAGAGAGATGATTTCACTCAAAAGACTCAAATGAGATGCTACTTTTTCTCCACTAATTGTGTGGAAATTTGGTTTTGTTTAACACTAACATGTCCACTTTACACATAATATATCCAAATTTACTAATGCTTTTGGATATATAAATATGTAGAAAGAAAAACATGCCTTAGTTAGATAATTCAAGTGCAGATAGGGTTCAATTAAACAATAAAAATTACGTCCTAAAATAAGTTTCTTAATGTTAACTTTGTTATATATATATATATATATATATATATATAGTACCCCCATCACCCTAAGGGACCTACATTAATATATTCCATGGTTCTTAAAAAGTAATCTGGAACTATATATATGTATGTATATATGCACGTAAGTACTTACATTGTATGCATCTGCAGGTGTAAACAACTATTTATACACCTCATATATAGCAACTTTATAATACAGAACTCAGTACCCCAGAAAAGAAAAATCTAAATCAGATTTTGTCCGACTCAATCCAACCATTGAATTATGTACATTTTTATCATGCACGACAAATATATACCCTTCAATCCAAATGGAGTCTATTTTGAGAATGTAAATATTACACACACACACACACACACACACATACACATTATTTACTAATATTATTATTTTTCAGGATTGCAAGAATTTTGGTTGTATTCGGAAATTTATATTTGGATTTGGAGTTTGAAATTTTATTTTTGATTTTGACAAAGGATATTATCAAAAGAAACATCTGACTCTTTATCCATGAGGACTCCATCAAATCTTGTAGAGAGCAAAAGACAAGAAATGAAATTGCGGTTGTGCTTATCTAAATCTTTTGATACCCATGCCATTATCATCTTCTATACGAGAGGACCTACTAATTAAATTGCTTTGGACTCAAATTGAAAATACAACTAGACCCACAAATGCCGATTGGGCCCTCACTTCCTTCTTATCCTCAAAATTTTAAAATAATAAAACTATTAACCATCAAGTGACCAATACAGTGACATGGGCTTTTGAGAAAGACAATGAGGGCTTCTTTTTTTTGGGTAAATAAATTTATTCAAGAAAAAAGAGGAAATCTCGAGGAGATGGAACAAGAAGCCCAGAGACAATTGAGCCCAAAATATAAGAATAAACCTACCAGAAAAATAAGGATAAGGCCTAAGGGCAAAAAACAAGCCCAGCTATAGAACAGCCCAACAAGCAAACAAATGTTTAGAGAAAATCCCTTTGTATATATGGGCCAGGGCCATGAATAGGTAGTTTTGTAAAAGTCCAAGCTTGGCCTCCCAACATAAAAAATGGTTTTCTATTGGGCCTTAGTTGGATTTAATTTACTAAGCTCAATTGAGGTAAAATAATTTGCATAGTTGACAGTTGACGCCTCTGCAATATGCTCTTGCTCACAAACAATGAAACATTCTCTCTAGCCCAATTCATTCCATTGCTTGATCCATTATTTTACTTAAGTCAAATAAAGCGGGAGCAGGAGATAGAGCAAATTCGAGAACGTGAGCGTAAAAGCAATAAAATTAAGTCACATATAGTGAGAATTTGAGCGAGAATACGCGCGGAACGAGAGAACACAAGCGCGCTCAAAACGTGATAGCGACACTTAGCATTTTACGTATATTAATATATATACATATAAAACTTTGGTATAATTATAATTTTTCGAGCTAGCATTGAGAACTCCAGCCAAATCTAAGACACAAATGATCTAATTAAGGACATTTTTTACCACGAATATAATTTATGATATTAATATATATATATAAAAGGTGGAGAAATTATAACATTGGAGCTCAATGGAATAAATTATATTTTTGTGTCGTTTATTTCATAACTCTTTTTTAAGAGACCAAAATCGTTGAACACTCCAAACCGTCCATTTACATCAATATCGCGATATGAACAGAGGAGTAACTAAGGAGAGCGAGTAAAACAATAGAGTAAAAAGGAAGCCTGAAAAGGCAAAGTGTAGTGTGTAGTCGCTCTTAACCCACCAAATATATGAGGCGCTGGATGGATTGAACGAACAGCTAGAGAGAGAGAGAGAGAATGTTGATAACGGTCAGAGAAGTTGCTTCTGCTTCTTCTTCGCCCCTTTGCTTCAACCTCTCTGCACACACACTCTCTCCCAAACACTCTTCAAGGTTTCGAAACCCTACTTGCAGAGCCAGCCTTTCTGTTCAGACCAAACCCACCACTGCCTCATCATGGAACGTTTCTCTCCACTCCAATAGGTACCATCTCTATACCAATCAATTTCTCAACTTTATCTTCCAATTGGAGTTCTGGGATTTTCTTGAAAATGGGATTTTTCTTTTTCTTTTCATGCTATAATAATTCTTATTCCTGGCTTTGTCTTTGATTTTTATTTTTTATTTTTTAATGCTCTTATTTTCCAAATTTATGCGCCCTCATTTCTTGTTTGAGTTAAAATCTGGAATTGTTTTTCTCCTTTCTAAGGAAGTATTGATCTTGGATAATTGGTGTTACAAATGTGTATTTCTGTATATATACATATGTAAATATGTATAGAGAGATAGATAGGGAAGAGAAATGGTTGGACATTTATAACTGAATGACTATAGAAACACACTCTTACTCAGCAAAACTGTCACTTTGTTTCTTATGCTTGCTTCCTTACAATGTTGTTCCTTATCATGTGAAATTCCTAATTTGTTCCCTTTCTTCAAGTATATGAAGACTGGTTTGAGTATCAGAGAAGTGATTTAAATTCAATTTTGTGTACAGATTATTGTCAATGAAACAATCTAGTAGCTTTATTAATTTTATCATCTATAAAAAGATGAATCATTTTGCTTTCATGCCACCTTTGACCTTCGAGTTTTTGCAAGAATTCCAATCAGTTACATAAGAGTTCCCACTTAACTCTAGGGGGAAAAAAATGGCTGCAGCTTGAAAAGAGATAAAACTTAAAACTAGGAGGGTGTGTGTGCGTTTGTTTTTTTTAGGTGAAAATTTGAAAAGTTTCAGCCCCTTTGGTGGTGGAAACATTTGGACAGTTTAGTTTATGTATTAGGGCTTCTAATTGAATTGTGAATGTTTATTTAGCAATCTGAGATAGTTTTCTAGGTTAAATTATATTTTGGAGGCTATTTTGGAAATCTGTCTGGGCCAATTTTATTACAAGCAAGGAGCTGGCCATTGTCTTAAAGAGATCATGCTTATTTAGTTTTCTAGGTTGGATTATATCTTGGGGCAATTTTGGGAATTTCTCTGCATCAATTTTATTACAAACAAGGAGCTGGTTATCGTCTTAAAGAGATCATGCTGGTTTTTTCTTTCATGCAGGGCTTATTCCAACCTTTGTTTTATTTTTTGTTTCTTCCATGGGTCAGCTTATTCCAACTTTAGCCTTTTACTTTGCAACTCAGCACAACTACAGATTAAATTTCTTTCAGTAACAAAGAAACATATGTTTCATATCTTTTTTGTGGAAAATTGTAATTGAGAGATATGTAAATCATTCATTGCGTTTCTGGAACTCAAAGCTATGTTATAACCTTATCAAGAATAAGTTCTCTCAAAGGAATTTAAGTTTTGTAGACTTGATCGGTGTCAAGAACATAGACTTCTTCACCAGTGCATCCTTATCATGAAATCATAAATTTTAAGTTTATTTCTTCTAATTTTACCATATTCTAGATAGATTTCCTTAAATTTTGACATTTTCTTGTTATGCTGATTGTAATTCCTTCTCAGCCGCGGGGGATCAGTTTTTGATCCTTTGGGAATTGATTCAGATAAATCATCGGGTCTAAATGCTGCTTGGGAAAGTGTCCTAAACTTGCTTTCACAAAAATTTGAGAGCACCTCAAGTACAAAAAAGGATAAAACTCCTTCAGCTAGAGGGGTGGCAGGTTCATTCTTTAACTTATTTGTTTATTTCCCATGAAGATCATCCTGTTATAATCATATTTGCAGCTTTGAACCCTTAATTTGACATCGGCAGCTGCAATTGAGGATACTTCCATTGATTTTGGGGACTTCTTCAAAGGCCCATTGCCAGGAAAATTTCTCAAGCTCTTGGGTTATTTGGCTTTATCGCGACTTGGAATATATGTACCTCTGGGAGGGGTAAATCGGGATGCCTTTGTTGGCAATCTAGATCAGAACAGTTTATTGAGCACTTTGGATTCATTTTCTGGAGGAGGCATTGGTCGACTTGGGATATGCTCCCTTGGTATTGTTCCTTTTATCAATGCACAGATTGTTTTCCAGCTTCTCACCCAAATCTACCCCAAGTTGCAAGAGCTTCAGAAAAGAGAAGGTGAAGCAGGAAGAAAGAAAGTTCTTCAATATACTCGTTATGCTTCAGTTGGGTTTGCCATAGTACAGGTAAGAACGTCTTGGGGTCAAAACTGTTGCACTAAATTGGATGAGGATGCTTTAGTAACCCTTTTAACTTCTTTTAGTTGTCTGTTTAGTTGGGTATTAAAATAAATACCTAATTTCTCGTGTAGTCTTACATTGAAAGTGATGGGGGCAGCAAAAAGTGGTTAAGATTCAACAAGCGAAAAATTAGAACTATCATCACATGAAGAGCCAGAAATATTTGGTGATTAATTTCTTCTTGTTTTTGAAAGTTACATAAACATTCTGTACATAAAGGACAATTTCGATGCAAATTGGTTTGGATTGTCAATTTAATGCAAACAGGGATTATGTTTCAATGTCAAAGAAGTTAAAGAATTCATAATACCTGAGGAAAGAAAAAAGATGAACTCTATTCAAAATCCACTTGAACTAATTCAAAAGATAAAAATAATGTGATTTTTCCTCGTATGGCTGGTTTGGTAAAATACAGCCTGTTAGTTATATCATATCTGCGTTGACGAACAGTGGTGAGGGATTTTTGGCCAAAAGTTGTTGTTGCAGATGGCAGTGCCATCGTGGCGTTTGATAAGATTAGTCCCCATTTAGGCTTACATGAATCAGTTCATGGATTTTGTTTTAGATGGACACTTTGAGGAGAGTTCTGAAATTCAGATATCTGAATATCTATATAGGCAGAAAGAATGTATCTGGACGGATAATAGACCATGAATCCTATGTCATGTATTTCTCTGTCCATTTTGATGGTTCCAGTTATTAAATCAACCATGCTATAATACTTATATTTGTACACTGATCCTTTCCTGCTACTAAATCTTATATTTTCTAATTTCTGTTACAGGCAATTGGCCAAGTCCTCTTCCTTCGCCCTTATGTCAATGACTTCAGTTCCGAGTGGGTTATATCCTCTGTTACCTTATTAACACTTGGATCAGTACTTACAACATATATTGGGGAACGGATCACTGACCTAAAACTGGGAAATGGTACATCTCTTTTGATATTTACAAGCATTATCTCCTACTTGCCAGCATCTTTTGGTAGGACAGTTGCACAGGCATTTCAGGATGGTAACTATGCTGGACTTGTGGCCATCGTTATCTCCTTCTTCCTGTTAGTCCTTAGTATTGTATATGTTCAGGTAAGTGCTAATTATTTTTCTGAATTAGAATTGGATTAGTGGAAACAAAGAGCTGTTAACAATATTCTCAACAAAGGGTTTCAGGAAGCAGAGAGGAAAATTCCAATAAATTATGCCTCAAGATATGCTAGCAAAAGTGGAGGGCTTCAAAAATCTGCTTACCTACCATTTAAGGTTTGTATCGTAGAATATTATTCAATTTTTCTGTAATTTTTGGTTAATGGTTGAATATTATCGATTACAGTATAATTATCATATTTCTTCTTAGAGGTATCTCTTTGTGAGAACGATTATCGCATTTTTTTCTTAGAATTATCTGTCAGTGGGAACTAATTGGCAATGTTACATAGACTCGGCCTACATGTCTTAGGTGCGGGTATGTGTATTTATTTATTTCTAGAGTAAAATAATGTTCACTGGTTCTAAAATGATATCTAATAAAAGGAACATAATAAGAGAGTTTATAAAAGGAACATGATAAGAGAGTTTTATGTACAATTATATCATAAAAATGTCCAACCATATTTGTCAGACACATTTCTCATACCTAATGTTGGAGTATCACGTATCCAACGGGTGCATCAAATTTTTTTTTTTTTTTTTGAGTGTATGCAATGTAAGTAATTACAAATTCTTATACACATCTTTAATGCAAGAGTGCTCCTTGTTTCAATTGTAGACACAAGAGCTTGTACAAAAAATATGAGAAGAGTCTTGTTTGGCATCTCGCACTTAATGGGAGAAACACTTTTACTAGTTTCTGCACTAGGTATTTATTTTTTTAACAACATTCCATGAAGTGGATCACGGTGGCATATGTTATGTGACCGTGACTTAGTGTTGATCTGATCTTGGTCTAACATTCTTTTTCTCTTGCTTCTACCATAGTAATGGTCTCAAGTATTCATGCAAGTATTGTGGGACACCTTTGTTTTTTTTTGGTCAACACAATGAGAGACAGAGTTAATCGCAGTTTATATCACCAATTAAATATTAACATTAAGAAAAATTGCTGGCTCAGACTGTAAGAGACTTTTTGCTGGTCCGAATCCCTTTTGAAATTGTTGAAATAGCTTATTACAATTGATTGTCTACATAAATAGTTGTAGAAAGTACTTTTAGGTTTGGAATTGACTTTCCTTTAGGTAGTTTTATAATCTTAGTTGGAGTTTATTTCAATTAGATCCTTTTTCCTTTTTCAAATATTTTCTAATGATACAGTTGTTAGAGGGTTTAAATATTTAAAGTTACACCCTCTCTGATAGCTTAAGCTTTTAGATCAGATGGTGGTTAACATTGTATCAAAGCAAGCAAGTTTGGGGGGTTGTTGGGGTGGGGGCAGAGATAAAGGATTTAAATATTAAAGTTACACCGTCTCTAACATTTTAAGTTTTAGAGTGGATGGTGGTGAAGAACAGTTAATTGTCGAAATATTTTTGGGGGTGTTCTTTTTTTAGCAGTTTCATCAGGGGTTCTATACATGATTTGTGTTCTGTTATGTATATGTATTAGGGCTGGAAAGCAAGCTTTAAAAGAGTAAGTTTTGAGTAAATAAATTGTTAAAAGGATTTTACTCTCTTTACCATCTCTCTCTCTCTCTCTCTTATTCTCTATTCTTTGTTTCAGTCGGACTGTCATACGGTGGCCTTATTGTTACATGATGACCATTAACCTTTTATCCTGTGATTATTTCCTTTTGTTGCTTGACTTTATATTCAGTTCTGCATGTCATCGAGCATGTACACTTTTATGAACTCTTTTGATTAATTCGGATCGGTGTTATTTATTATATTCTTAAAGTTCTGTTTGAAATTGTTCTTTATGATATTATTTTCTCACATTGATAGTTTCATTTGAGCAGGTAAATAGCTCAGGAGTGATGCCAATTATCTTTTCCACATCATCACTAGCTCTTCCCGGCACTTTAGCACGTTTCACTGGCTTAGATGTACTGAAAAAGGCTGCATTTTCTTTAAACCCAGGAGGTAAGATTAACCCCCATTGTAATTTTCATTGGTACAAATAATCTGAACTGTTCTTCAGCTAATCACTCTATTATTCACTTTATATTAGAATAAGCCATAGATTTATGAAGTTTTTAAAAATTTTACGCATCTCACAGCTCTCACTATCATGTGGCCTATATGTTGATGCATTTTAAACTAACCTTAAAATTTGTCATATAATATCCCATCTGAAGAGCACCTTGTTCCCACTAATCAGTTATGTTAAGATTGTGAGGTATAAAGAAGTAGAACATTCCTCTAATATATTGGCATTTGGTGGACTTACTTTCCCTTTTGGATGTAGATAGAATTTAAAATAGTCGAAATCTGACCAGATGAATTTTTTCTAGGTTCTTTCTATCTCCCCACGAATGTCCTATTGATAGCCTTCTTCAACTACTACTACACCTTTCTACAGTTGGACCCTGATGATGTGAGTGAACAATTGAAGCGCCAAGGTGCATCGATCCCACTTGTCCGACCTGGTAAAAGTACAGCTGCGTATATTAAAACGGTAATCATTTCTTAATGCTATTTCTGAATTAGGCTCCAGGCTGTTCATTCGGTCAGCTTTATCTTTGATTTTTCTCCTTCATTGTATAAACTAAGCCTATCGTACGATTTCCTTAAATGACCTTTCCAATTTTATTGGGGGTGATTCTCCACTTAGTAACTTTTCAATAGGAAAGCCTAATGACTGCTGCTACTATTACTCCAAATATATAGACCTAAGTTTCAAAACATAAACTTTAGCGGGGAATTTTCTCCCGTCTTCTGTTTTTTGTCAATTGAAGAATGGGGGATTGGTCCTTCGGAAAAATTTTGTGGAAAAGCTATGTCTCTTTTATATTGGACAGATGTATGCAGATAAGGAATTTCAGCGAAGGCATAATTGAGTGGCCGAGTTCTATATATTGTTTGCCTTCAGAATATATGACTGATTCATGTCCCATTTATAATTGGAATTCAGGTTCTTAGTCGAATATCCGTTCTGGGTTCCGCATTTTTAGCAATTCTAGCCGCTGGTCCGGCTGTGATCGAACAAACTACACATCTTACAGCATTCCGGGGATTTGCAGGCACATCGGTTCTCATTCTTGTTGGCTGTGCCACAGACACCGCAAGAAAAGTTCAAGCCGAAATAATATCACAAAAGTACAAGAACATAGAGTTCTATGACATTGACAAGTATGGCTCGTAAAACAAAAAGAAAAGGGTTTTTGGTTTCTACGGTTTGATTTCAGATAGATTGCATCATGAATTGGCCATGTTGTATTTGGATCCACAGCCTTAGTTAATTCTACTTTTTTATTTTTTATTATTTACAGTTTGACTCTAGCTGGGTCACCCATCTTTTGTATAAATGCTGGTACACAACTGCAGTTTTCTTCAGATTACACATATAGGAAAATCCATTTCACTTGTTCAAATCAAGTTGCTAAAGGCCAGAGTTACCAAGAAGGGAATGTGGGATGCAATTGTTGAAGGAAATTGATGGGAGGGCCTGAATGGGAAACAGATAAAGATTGCAATACACAGGAAACTTTAACAAGCTTGAGATAAAACTATCAGATTTTACCAAAAAAAAAAAAAAAAAAATCTCTTTGAAAAGTTTTGGACGAAGTTATAGCACATTGCATTCTTCTAGTTCATGATTAGGTTAACATTTGTTGAGTAAATTGAGTCCAGCTCAATTATTAATAGTTGGAATTAGATTTACACTTATTTAGGATTTCAGTTTGGCCCTAACTACAGAGTCATCTTGAACCCACCCAGTTGAAGCAAGCCCATATGTCCGATTGCTAACTGTAAAGTGCACATGCAATGCAGGTGGGGCAATCGCGGAGATACTTCTGAAATATCATGCACTCGTAATAACTAGCTGTATTCAGTAAAGTTTCTTATATATGTATAATTCATTGTCATCATTTTCTAGTAGATTGGACGAGACAACCTTACAGATATCGGGAAAACAGACGATTAGGGTTACAAGATCACTAAATGCTTCCAAGGTTCACAGTGCACATCTGATTCCCTTTTTTTTTTTTTTTTTTTTTTGTGGCTTGCGGACATACCGCAAAACTGACAAACTAGATACAATATTGAGCATAAATTACACGTAATAAGTTACACAGAGTACCCAGTTAGGCTTTTCTTGATACAAGCTTCCCAGCATTGACCTGGTGCACTAACAAGGGAATAACACTTGAGAGCATCTGGAATCTGTTCATAATCGAGATTTGGAATTTTAGGCTCCTTTGGAGACATTTGTTTGGAGCGCGTCAGCAATGGGTTTCACCCTTGGTAGTGAAACTTGTAGCTGTTATATACCTCTAGCAGATACAAGTAACTAATCATCCGTCTCAGCAGAGAAATCAGGCTCTTCAGGTTTCTGTAATTTTGGCAGCCCCATACCTTTAGTCTTCTGAACTCCTCTCCTTGTGCTTGTAGCAAATCTTGAAGCCAATATTGTGACTCCAAGGTTCATTTTTGTCTGTTGACTGGAACCGACATGATAGTGTTCCTGTTCCTCCTCTTGGCTGGACTCGGTAGCCACTTTATCATCCAAAGCAAAGGTATCATCCAAAGCAAAAGACTCCATTGTCTTGAAATCTTTTGCAATCCTCCTCTTGTACCGTCGCCAAGCAGCCTGTATGAAGCAGGCTGCCCATGTCCTCCAGTGGTGGGAGTAAAACCGGAATGTATGTTGCAGCTTCTTGCTATGGAGGCGCCTAAATTGATTAGCAACAAACTTGAGATCTTCAGCCCGCAAAGCAAACGCTTCCACTTCAACAAGTGCTCTGACTGTCCTAGTTGAAGAAGGCAAGTTGACAGTGGATTTTGGAAGCAAAGCCCATGCAAGTAGCTCCTCCCCACAAAAGTCTCCAGGTCTCAATGTAATCGAATTGAAGAAACCAGTCCTGCCACCATTTGTAGTAGAACTCTCCAGTCTCCCCCTAATAATAAAGAGCATTTGTGTTACAGGGTCACCCTCACGAACAATATAGGTATCGTTGGTGCTCAACGAGGAGAACAAACGCTCACATATTGCATCAAGTAGCTGATCATCCATTTCTGAGAAGAATGGTACCTGCCAAATTAAGAAAAGCGAGGGTAATGTACTAGTAAAAGATTGAAGTGATTGGTAAATGTATTTTATATCAATGGATGTACAATAAATATAGGAAATGTGAAATTTTATGGGCCTATCAGGATTTCAACTTGGGGGGAAATTCTAAAGATATGATACTAATGGCTAAAAAATCCCACTTTTACTGGCAAAGCAGTCACATTTGACAAGAATCCAACAAATGATGAGATCTTAGGAAGCTGCAAATACACACAACAAAGCAACGCTTGGATCATAAAGAAGGTTTGATTTTGATATATTGGTGACAGGAGAGTTCATAAAGGGAAGTTACACATGCCAATCAAGATATCTCTGAGGATGCAAGTCACTTGCACAACGTTGAATCATCCAAATCATAATTACGGACAAAATAATGCAAGAGTTTAACTATACCCACGAGCTTTTAAAACTGTAAAATAAACATAGTCAGGGAAGAACATACACGACGAACAAGGTCCAAGCATAGGTGACGTTGGATATCACGACGAAGATCCGCAGGCAAGCCATGTAGGATAGCTTCTTCATTTACTCCTCGAGTTGCAAGCCACTTATATTGAACATAACGCCGAACACGTAGCTTCAAATCTTCAGGGAGTTGGCGATGCCTCATCCACTCTTCGGTGTCTCTTCGCTTAAGTCTCCATTCCTCAAGCCTCACAGTTATAGATTGCAAATACGTCTACAAAAAAAACACAGAACCCCAAATTATTATTATTATTATTATTATTAACAGAAGGCTGAAGGGTAAATATAGAATATTCAACTCTATTTACAACTTTAATTTAAATGTAAACAAAAACTAAAAAATAAACCCAAAAAAGATAGCTGGGTTGGCTAGAGCGTCTTGATAATAATCAAGAGGTATTGAGTTCAGTTCCTCCTGGACTTACCCAATACATGTGGCTTGGGGGGGTTGCATGCATCCGAAGTGAATAGTCTCCCTCCTTAAGGGAGGGGGAACATCCTCCATTATCTAACAAAAATTACTGTTTCGAACTATGCATTGGCTTCAGTAGGTCATAAAAATAGGGAGCATCATAGACTATTTAATGGGATTCAACAACCACGCCTGTGCAATCTTTATGATTTTTCTTGTTGGGCTAACAAACTAAAATGCAAATTATGATCTTAATCTTCAATATGCTTATACCTTTATTTAATACTTATTTCTTTTTTGCCCAAAATGGAAAAGGGATTGGGCTATGAGCTTATGGCCTCTAATCTGATGATTGAGATGATCCCACACAAGTTCAGTATAATAAACCAGACTGGACCTGATGAGAATAGTTATATGCATTCTCGTGTTGCTTAACCCTTATCTTAACTTTATTTAATTTCTGAGATGAACAGAACAAGCCTAAAAGATTAAGAAAGCCTCCAGTCGTGATTCATGATTACCATGAGCACCTGCCTATAGAAATAACCTTGACTCAAGCCTCAAAGCATTTTCCTTGAGCTTCGCATCCAGATGAACCTCATAGAATAAATCTCAAGCGAGTTGTAAATCAAATCAGTACAACTAAGCTTGAAGTATCAAATCTAAGCTTACAGATGTTAGCATATTCTAAGAGATTGAATAGATTCAAAGTGGCCTAGGCGCCATGGAATTGATATGGGCAGACACATTATTATAAAAAGACAGCCAACTTTTAAGTTGAATATGTTTTTCACAATAGTCATAAAGTCGAACCTGGGACCGGTAACAATGCAAGCATTAATCAGCCATGCACAATTAGGAACAAGAAAATTGGAAAGAACATCAGCAGCAGTCCACTGATTAAACATATTTTGATCATACAATATATGATGAAAGATGATATATGATGAGAGTTTTGTACTCGATGAAAAGGAAAAATAATTGGCAAGGATTAATAGAAATTTAGTTTACTGATAGTTTCTATCAAAGAAAAACTAATGCAAATTTTCATAAATAATTAAGGTGCTACTGCTCAAGTCTATCAACCAGACACTATATCAAATACCTCTGCATATTCCCAATCAGCCGTGCAAATAGAACAAGACCCAAGATAGCTATCTCACCTGCATGTTCCCAATCAGATGTGCAAACAGAACAAGACCCAAGATAGCAATCAGTATAGCGAATAATATCTCCCCAATAAATGTGCTTGTCGACAAATTCTGCCCGTATGAACTGAGAAATTTAAAATAAAAATATTAAAAAAAAAAAAAACAAGTATACTAAAATATATTAACAAACGGTTCTAAATGGCATCCTCTTTCTCAAAATCAAAAAGGGAAAAATGTTTCCTACAATAGTTGTTTCATCAGTTCGGTTAAAAAGATCAAAAGCTCCAAGCACCTATAATAAGCATTTTGCGGTTACCAATACATCTTGAAGTCACTCCTTACCAAATCAAGCGAGTTACAAGCACTTATAGAAGCATATGGAACTAAGTATATTATTTACTTTTAGATAACAATAAATTAAAAAATAAAATAAAAAATCACAGGTATCAAATGTTTATAACATTATGTTTTCTTCTTTTTCCCTCTCTATTTTCTCTCACCTTATCACTTTTTCTTTAACAAATTTAAATACCTAATATTTTCTATTTATTGTTTGTCAATCTTTTGATATTAAATCTTTTTGTTAATGGATCATGCTATCAGGTCAGATATCCAATTAATAACAAATCAAACATGGATTCATTCGTAAATAATCCATCAGATTTATCTATAACTTGGTAATGCACTTACCAATCCAAAAATAATATAAAAGAATACAATAAAGAAAATGTGAGGATGGGCCTGGGCACAATGGTAAGGTTGATCCATTGTGTCCTGGAGGTCATGGGTTCGAAACACAAAGAGGATTACTTTCCACATGTGAAGGTAAGATTGCGTACATTTGACCCTCCCCAGACTTTGCAATGGCGGTAGAGATAAATTTTCCTACTTTACGACAACCCTTATCTTTAATCATCCCTTTTTATTTTTATTCTTTTTGGCATAATCTTCGATCACTATCAACTATTTCCAACACATTTTATGCCTCCTAGTAAACCCAATGATGCAAGACTTAGTGTGTTAAAGGTAATCCTACTTTCAAGAAGTTTTGCTTGAATGGTAAGATGTTTTTGAGATTTTATTTAAAAATGCAAGACGGAGCAACGTTAACAATTGACGATACCCAAAAAAAAAAAAAAGAGGAGGCACCTAAAAGATTTCTATACTACATTGAAGCACGAGTATAAATTATTAAAATCAGATATTATTTGAAACATAGTTTCCAAAACAAAATTTCTACTGTACATATTATTGCAAAAGAGGCATATACTGCATGGGATCAGGTACCCGTGTAGGGTAATGAACATGTGCCTAAGCTTCTGGCTAATCAAATACCATCTCCCAATGATATAGGGTCAACTATATATCCATATTTTTTATAACATTCTTCTTTGTTTCCCATGGTAGATTGGTGATTTAGGTAACATTGAGAGTTTAATATAAGCATTTTACTGATTGGAAACAGTAATGACACAAAAATGAATGCAACTCTTATATAGAATTATATAGTAAGCTTTATTTTTTGACAAGCGTCCAACAAAATATGTTGGATACATATCCCACGCCCATGCCCTCTTATATAGAATTATATAGTAAGCTTTATTTTTTGACAAGTGTCTAACAAAATATGTTGGATACATATCCCATGCCCAAATGTCTCTATTTTATACATCATGTAAAATGTCCATCTAACATAACTTTAGTGTGGTTAACTCATTGAGAGATTTGTGTATTAATTATTATAGAGGTCACCATATTGTATCAGCATATATCATATGATTCCATGTTCCCTATTTGTTGTTGGAATGTCATGATCTTGCCATAAGGTTACAACACCTAGCGTAATAATTGTTATGCAAATTGCCGTACTTTGGGAAGTTCCACATTTTAAGTTTTCATAAAGGAGAATTACTTTCAAAAGCAACAGAGAACTGGTACTAGTAATGAAATAAAGACATTAAAGTAGAGGAACATTGTTTTTTTATGAATACAAGTGATAAAAATTGGAGAAAGCATACCTTAAGTTCTGCAAGCCCCACCACAAACAATAAAAGTACTTTTCAAGAAACTTTGAGGAGAAAACACTTTTTTGCACTGCCTTTTCAAATATTCCGTATTTGAAAGTGATATGATTGTCAGGATCACAACTATTAAACACGTTTGTACTATTTGCCCAGTTCTTGCGATCAACATGGTCAAAAGCATCACAATCCAAATAATGAAGAAAGCATTTTGTAGGGTCCTTTTTGCAATGTGATTTCCAGCACGATGTATACCGGTCAACTGACAGCAAATACCATGCTGCCCCTAAAACCTAGAAGAACAAAGTTGAATCATCAATTCGCAATACAATTATGAAATTCCCAGGAAAAAAATGGAAAAAGGAATATTAAAATGATAAAAACGTGAGCAAGTGGCATAACACATAATTTTTAAACTAAATTGGTTAAAAATATATAGTGACAATTAAATAACAAAAAATGAAATAATTCAAAGTTACATACATGGCTAGCCAACATGTACAATATCAGATTATATGCAGCCCCCGCCCAAGCTGTTTTCGTGACAACTCCAGTTGCTTTAATAAGTTGTGAACTTAATGGGAAAATCAAATATAGTCTGGGAACATATTGGAGTAGAACAATCAGCGCAAGGGCATTGTTGTTGTGATCAGCTCTTGGGCTTCTCGTTGCTGGTATAATGAACCAGATGACAATCTGCAGAAAATATATTAAGCCAACAATTCTTCTCTCCCAGTGAGCTTTACAATATTACTAGAATAAAGGTACAGAAAATAATAGATGTAGAAATAGGCTTACACAGAAATAAGTGTGATAGTCATGATGTAAAGTCTAAAAATATATTGAAAGCAAACTATTTACAAGGATTACTTTGATACTGATTGAATAGAGCCTATCTAAATTTTCCCCCTATATTTTTTTACGCCGGGTGAGCAACACAAGATCAGGCAAATTACTCTCTCCTTTCAGGAAGTTAAAATACATCTTCCACCAAAAAGCAGTAAAATATTTCTTTTCTTTCTTTTGTAGTCTGTGTTTATGCAGAAAAGGTGAAAGTTCAAAAAAATAAATAATAATAAGGAAAGGTGAAAATTGGTTCTACCTCTCAATTTGTATCACGTAATCCACCTTTTCATATGCACATCATTTAGGTATCAGTGGTGACGTTTTGCTTACATCCCTACCAGTCTATTAACAAAAAGATAAGGGTAAATTACATTGACACTCCTTCAGGTTAGGTCAAATATCACATAAATGAACATTTTGGTTTTACTTACACCCCAAATTACTTTTTGGGCTCTAACACGTGTGAACTGACCCATTTACCCCCCCCCCCCCCCCCCCCCCCCCCCCCCCCTCCCTTTTTTTTAAATACAATTTAATACCAAAAAAAATCTATGAACTTAAATGACAAAAATACCCCTATTTAATTTTTTGACCCACATATGCCAAATTACTCTCTCTCTCTATCTATATTTACACAAACACACACACACACACACACACACATATATATCACGATATTGTGGAAAACAGATCTGATTGCCGTGTATGCCCTTATGTGTCCCTAGTTAGTCCGGTACGGGCTCTCACTAAGTATATGTGCATTACATGATGTAATTTTTTTCACTGTATACTTTAGGATGTGTTTTGTACTTAATCTATTACAGTATATTTCTTGCCCTTTCAACATATTGACAATTTGACATGGACTAAGTTACCGGGCATTAATGCATAGAACACACATACAAAAAAGGATACGGTCATTAAATTTGAGTCTTTACATTGACAACAGAGTCAAAGAGTCACCTGTGACAACTATATGATACCCATACCAATACATAAATCCTCCTTATGATAAAGAAAATGTTATTTAGAAAAACAAAATCAAAATTCAAGATACTAAATTGATCATCGTATGCATGATTCCAAAAACTAAATCAAAATCACCACATCTAATTTCATATAGAATAAAATAAATTTCACTAGTGGCTTAAACCTTAGTGCAATCAGTTGGCTTGAAAGAAACCTTCTTGTTCACAAGGTCATACCCAACCAACACGTTCATCTGGGACAAGTTCCCAAAGACGGCTTCATCATCAGAATCAACAGGGGCAATACTTAAGCACAACACACCATCTTCCACCTCTTCAAACGTTCTCGATACTGGCAGACTCAAGTCAGTGCCAGCAAAGTGAAACATCACGGTGGGCACATAAAAAACATGCCCTGTGTTGCATAACAAAGGCTGGTATCTGTTAGTGAACATTGGGTTTTAGCTCAGATTGCAGCAACCAAAGCCGACTTGATATGTGTTGCTATCTTTTGGGTCTTCTTATCTTCAATTCTGGATTAATTTTTTTTTTCCTTCAAAAAGTTGTTAATTTGAAATGAATTTATGGTAAGAGTATCCAAATGAAAGCACATATGTGCTAGGTGGGCACGGAAGTTCATACATAATAACTTTTGTATAAGTATGAAGTATGGTAGCTTAATTTGGTCAAACTCCAGTATTCTACCTCACTAAATTTGTAAATAATAAGTGTGTGTGTATATATAAAGAGAGAGAGTGGAGGTAGAGGTGGTGATGATAGAGGCTTTGGGTGGTGGTGGAGGTGTTGGAGGTGTTGGGTGGGGGTGGGAGTTTTGGTGGTTTGTTGAGATTGGCTATCATGGGTGCATGTACACAATAGTTTTTATGGGTCACTTGGGGGTATTTTTGTCATGAAAAAATTAAAATACAAATTTTCTAAGTCAACAATAAATCAAAAGGGTAGTATAGTCATTTTGCATGTAAAAAATATTTTGACACCACTAAAAAGTGACATTTGGGGTGTGAGTGAAATACGAATAAACTCTTCCAAATGTGAGTGAAAGTTAAAACCAAAATATTAATCTATGTGAGATTTGACCTAACCTGAAGGGGTGTCTGTGTAATTTACCCAAAAGATAAAATAGTATAAGGTAGACAGTGATTAGAACCCTTACCCACAAAGGAAAGCTTGCAATAATTTTTTATCCCATAAGAGAAAAATGAAAATTAAGATAAAATTCAAGATATTAATGTACCCTGAAAAGATGTCAAGAGGACCAATTCTATCCAATAAAATACCTAAAACCTACTAGAGACATAACTAAAAGCAAAAATATAGATTATCTATTGCATCAATGCATAAAAAAAGAAACTTAAACTTCATTAGCCTTCGACAAATATGAACTAAACTACAAGGCCTCAAGGGAACTACATCGGAAAAGAAAAAAGAGTCCAATCACATTCAACAATAATATTTGACAGTTCAAACTCCCAAATCAAGAAAACAGATAAAAAGTTTTTCATTTTAGACAAAAGAAATGCCAAGTTCAAACTCCCAATTCAAGAGAACAGATGAAAAGTTTTGCATTTTAGACAAAAGATAAATCCCAACTTCATATAACAAACCTAAAAATTAAAAGGTCCCCACAAACTCGTAATTAGGGGTGTTCAAAAAATCCGGTAAACCGAAAAACAGGACTGAACCGGACTGAATTGGATGGTTTGGGCTAGTTGTATAATGGTTTGGTCCGGTCCTGACCCAAAATTATGAAACCGTAATTTTTCGGTCCGATCCTGGTTGAGGGTACAGGCCCAGACCAAACCGTTACTATGATATATAATATATATATATATATATATGTGTGTGTGTGTATCATACCCTAAACCTAAATCAAGTAAAGTAATCACGTCTCATGTGCCCCCCTTAAATTTTTAATTTCTAAAATTATCTTAACTTTTTATTTCTTTTGTTCTTTAAATTCCTTAAATTTCTTTTAAAAAAAGTCAAATTTTCCATTTTGAATCATATTTCAATTTTCTTTCCTTTCAAATATATCTCAATTTTCTTTCATTTTTTCTTCTTAAAATTCTTGTTCTCCATATCCATAATCATCTAAAGCATCCCAAAGGTTTGTCTTTGGTTATTTCTAGTCTTTCTATCTAGTTTCTATCTAAATTCTTGTTGTTGTTGAAATTGACAAACCGAACCAAATCAAACCAATTTTTCACGGTTTGGTTTGGTTCCATGGGCATTATGGTTCGGTCTGGTTTCAAAAATAGTGGAACTATTATAAATGGTTTAGTCCCGAAAAACTCCCAATCTGGTCCAAACCGGACCGTGTGCACCCCTACTTGTAATTGCCTCAATTTATCCCCACAAGTCCCATTTGTTGTCAACCAAAAACATCTTTGATTCGTTTAACTCAATAGCATAAAATACTAACTCCTCTCTTCCAAAAAGGTTATTAGCCTATTACCCATTGCTGATCCTGGCTATGTGGGATGCTAAGAAGAGAAGATTAAAGTAAGACCTAACATTCGGCAATTAAACCCTTCCGAAACATGAAATTTTTTAGACTCATTCCCAATGTTGGAGCTAATAAACAAAAATCTCCAATCATCTTGGACAACACTAAGCAACCACTCTGTCTCTTTAAATTCATCACTTAAATTTACATATATACTTTGAGCCAACTTTCAAAACAGGTGAACAAAGGGACTGGATTAAGTACATAGCCTTTTGCTTCTGTGCTGATCATGCTACATCCACACATAAATTAGATATCTCAGAAGCTGGATATTACTCATTAACACACAGAGCTCTATACTTTTAGCTAGTTCATTACTTCCCAAGCATAGTATCTCATAAATCAAGGTAATATGTGCAGTTCTTGAGAGATTTAAAGCAAATTTCTTCTTTCTTTTATACAGCATATGACTTAATTTTCCAGGAAACAAATTCAACCAGAAAGAAAGGATAGTATTTTCTATAATTGTTGAGGTGAGTCAAGTACACAAATCATAAAATATGCAAATTTTATATGTAAATTGTCAATATTATAAGTGGAAGGAAAAAAATTACCTGAGGAAGAGGCAGTGTTGCAATCAAATCAATGAAAAAGTCAGATCTTATATATCTTCTGGCAATTTTCTTGCGGTCCATTACAAGTTCACCCCTCCCAAACACCCGAGAGCTCGGTGCAACATAAGCTGTCCTAAACTTAATAAGCATATGCAACAGATAGAAAATATCTGCAATAGTCCGGAAACAGGTTACAATGATCCGCAAATTCAAGTCCGTCTTCACGCACCACAAGTGCTTACTTCCTGCTATACTAGGCAGGTAAAAGTAGAGAGGGTCAACAAAGAGTGCCACCAAACATGAGACAATGAAAACCCGGTTCCATTGCAACACAATCTCACTACCAGGATCAAGCATTCGTTTCCGCCATGGCTCAATGTCCTCTGGGAATACCTTAGACCTCCCAAATGTGCTAGCTTGGGAGATTCTACCCCTACTCACAAACCCACCATCAATTTTCAACAAAGAAGACGAAACCTGGTACCCAGAAGATGACTTTTCTAGGTGCGAGGGATCAGTTCTTCCCCATGAAACATCTTTTCGTTGCTTTACATCAGAAAAAAATCTACAATTTATAAACCAATAAATCAGCAGAAAGTTTCCAAATCCACTGTATAGTTTACTGAGAAAATAAAATACGACAATATTTCTGAATCTCGTGTTCAGAGTTATATCATAGTTTCAGACTTTCAGTATTTCAATTTTTCATTTTTCCTGCATTTTCTCCATAACCAAACAGAAATCCCTCAATTTATTTGCAGTCAAAATGAAGTTAAGAAAGAGGGAAACAAAATATTCTCTCTTAAAATAAATAAATAAAATCATGTAGCTGGGACTGATGAATTAGGTTTAGGCTTAGCAAAGTCAAGTCATTGGTTTCCAGGTTCCCAATAATGAAATTTTCAAATTTTCTCATCAACCAAACAGAAATGGAACTACAGAATATACGTATAAAGAAAGAAAATAAAATGGAAAAAAGTATGATAAACTACATAATACCTTACTATCTTCTGCTTCTTCAGCTCCATACCAGTGGCCATTGAAATTGATACTCTCTTCCTCTCTCTCTCTTCCTCTCATATGGGGTGGACATGAAATTGACCTACCCACAAAGAAATGAGTCAATTTGGCATACCATTATTTACAAATGAGTGTTAGATTTTTGGCTTTGATAGGAGAGTGAATAGTGACGGTGATAGTGGGAATAGTCAGAGATTTGTTTATTGCTTCTTGATGATTGTTTGGTGGGAAAGTATTATTAATACAACATTAATACTATTATTAATAACACTAAATAGAATAAATGGTCAACAATATGTTGACGTAAAAGTATTATTAAATCACATGCCCATTAGTTATTTGTATGTGGACAGAGTCCAGTCACTATTGGACTTCATTTGATATGAATGGAAGATGGGAAGTCTAGTGATATTTCTGGACGCTAACTTGAAAACCATTGAAATATTCATGTGATGCGACCAATTGACCCATCAACAAAATTAATATCATTTAAAACAAAATTAGCACACTTTAATTTTCCGCCTAATTTCTATGACTTTATGCAAATAAAAAATATATATATATATATATACAGTAAATTAAGTCCTTCAGTTAAGCAAGACTTGATAATGCGGATTCTAGTGATGCATTATAGTGAAGTGTTGAAGTTTCAGGATTTAAAACGAAAAATTACTATATTGTTCTGACTTTATTATTTGACACGTATGTAAAAAGGTTACATAAAGTTTTCACAGTTTGATTCATTGACTTATGAGTGAAATGGTGATTTCCGACACTATGTAATAATTTACCCTTAGAGCAAAAAATGAGCGTGAGAATATCTTGTGAAGGTAAAAAAAAAACTATAAAATAAACAAAAAAAGAAAAAGGAGGGGGTAGATCAATATATATATATATATATAGAAATATATATATATATATATTTCACTTGAGAAGCTTAAGACCACCGAGTAGAAATGTTTAACATTAAATTTGACCCGATTTCTTTTAATTGAATTCAGCTTCAACTAATTTGACCGGAATAAACTTAGCCACCTTTGTGATGTATTCTAATTTTTTCTTTTTTTTAAATTTTAAGAAACTATTATTCATTTCAACAAAAATATATATATATATTAAATTTGGAATAAACCTAGCCTAAATTTTTTTTTTAATCTATTTTTTTGAAAAAAAACCTTTAAGAAACATTATTCTGGTTGAGTTTTTTTTTTTAAATGTATCTATAATAAGGATCTACTTGCAATTTCAATTTTGTCTTGGCAATTTAACTCTCAATCCCAACCTGCATTGTCCAAACTAAAAATGGTCAAACTTCAAGTATTCCCACTATATGATCTTATGTTTGAAATTATCTTTCTTCCAAATCGGAGTGGAACTAGGGGTGGGCCAGCACAGGCCATGGCCCCCCCAAACTTTCTTGAAAATTTCATTATACCCCCTAAATATTAATTACTTTGTAAGTACTGCCCCTAAAATTTATTAAAAATTTCAATTGGCCCCCCAATTTTTTTCAAAACACTAACATATTGACCCAAAATAGATAATTTGAAAATAATTTTAGTCTTTGTCTCCTTGAAATTTAGTAAATTTACAACTTCGACTCTTTTAACTATATTTTTAAAAGCTCAAATTTAAGAATTTTTATAATTAATGTATAAACTTTTCTAATTTTAATTACACAATTCAAACTCACCCCCGAATTTTTTGCTTTGCCCCTGCTCCGAATCCTTCCCAATCAAACTTGTATCTTGCCGGATAAAAATAAAAAATAAAAAAAATAATTAAAAAAACTCCCAAAATACAATTAAAAAGATTCAAAACAGTCAAACACGTCTTCCAATCTCAAAATAAGTAAAAGAGCAAATATTGTAATTGTATCAATTTTTTCTCGTTCAGAGAGAATATTAGCAAATCCCGTGATTCGCGTTCGCCAGATTGAGTGGTCCAGAGCCCATCCAATAGAATGGGCTGATTTGGGCCTCTATCTGGAAGGGAGGTCAAATCTTTGGATCGGGCCTCAGCTCAACAAATTTTATTAGAATCGAAATCCTTTGAACTCTTAATCTGCACTTAATAAAAATAAAGTACACGTGTTACAGTTTAAAAGCAAAAAAAAATTCAATGATTTCGTTATTGCTTGATTGTTGGTTTATTTTTAAAAAAAGATTTTATGGTGCTCTGCAAATTGGATTTCAAATGAATCATATCTTCTGTTGCTGCTCATAATCTTTTTTAAACGTGAAGGAAGGTTGCTAAAGTCTAAAGATTAAGGCTCTCTTTTTGGTATGCGGGTTAGTGTTAGCTTTAATAAAGGTTTTAACTTGTTCAATGGATAGGAATGCCTTCAAAAGAAAACATTTTAGTGCTTTGACATGCTTTTTCATAACAATAGAATGCCCACATTATGAAAATGCACAACTAAGAAAATGAATTCATTCTCACGACAATGGAGTGTCGTAGAGTCTATCATTACTTTTGACAAAAAAAATGAGTTTAACCGGAATGGATAACTAAAAGAATTTTACGATTTTTTTTTTCTTTCTTCATTCTGTTGAAAATTTATAAAAGGCTCTTTGCAATTCTCTCTCACACGCGCGCACACACATATATATATTCACGATTGAAAAGCTGAGAGATATAATATTCATATTCCACTTTTCTTTGATTGTCATGCCATTTAAATTTTTTAATAAATGAATTGATAAAATTATCCTATTTCAATTTGTAGAGAAAAATAAAATTAAAAAAAAAAAAGAAAAAAAGAAAAAGAAAATTGTAAGTAGAAAAAAGTGGAGTTATCTCCCTTCAAATAAATTGGGAAAGAAGGAAATGTTAAAGAAGGTGGGAAGGGAAAAAGGATTGAGGGCATGGGAAAAGAATAGATGTAAGATTTTCAATGTTTGACTTCTAAATATTTTGAATAAGAGAAGTGCCTGATAAAAAGTTTGAAGAAAAGAGTTTTCAAAAACATATATATATATATATATATATTGTGTATATATACGGGCAGTACTTAATTCTAATCACATCACAACAAAATTTTAGGAGTAGAGGACCCAAACCAACCTAACATTAGTTTTCGTAGAGAAATCCAAAACAATGCGTGTGCATCACTGGATGTAATGCATTGAGATCCACATGAAGTCTCATTGTCTTAAATCCAAGAGTGAAGTAATGCTCAACCAAACTGTTCGGCTACGCTTTTCTACCAAAGTGGCACAGTCCTTTGAGTACGTATTTACAAATCTGCAATGTAACGTTAGATCTATAGACAAAAAATGGACGTAGTTATGTAACAAGCATTTCGGGGAACCCTTGTTGAGCATACTTGATTCAAAACTAAAACTTCAATATGCTAGTTAAAAACATGTATGCCAAGCACGCCCCTTTTAATGTCCTCACCCAGAAACTATTGAGCTCCTGTTGTGCTTCAAAAATAAAATAAAATAAAATAAATAGTTAAAAATAATTAAATAAATAATAGTAATAATAAAACAATTCAAATTTCGAACAAGGTGGTCTATTATTGAGTAAATTTTGTTCAACTGCAAAAATTCCGGAATGCTTTATGAAGAGCAAGCATTCAAAATATTCGAGCAACTTGACTGCAAACAAACTAATAAACCAGTACAGATACAGTTGGAAACACATCAAAACCAGCTGTGAGAAAAGTATGGTAAGTCTTATACAGAAAAAGATTGGAGACAAAATATTTCTTCTTTTTCCAAAGTTCTGACAACTTGTTTTATGTTTCAGAATAATCAATAAAACTCAGATGTGAAGCAAAGAAATGTCCCCATTTTTACCCTGGCAAAATGAAACTGTGTGCTGTCAATGAAATCAAGACTATTCTTCTCATTTTGAACTTCCAACTCTATAAAATTGAATCTCGAGGAAATCAATCCTGTGTCAAAGATTGTTATGGATTAAATATAGAAACTCATTTATTATTATTATTATTATTTTTATCATACTGATCACTTTATAATTTGGATTAATTACATAACATATCCAGCTGTGTTCTTCTGATCAATAAAATATTTTTGTCTGAAACTAAGTTGTTTTAATATGCAATTCAATGTTAATAAATAAATAAATAAAATATGAAATCCAATGCATTTATGACGACAATACTAGAGCACAATGCATAGTTCCAACAAAGTACCAGAAATGGAGTAAACTTTACATGTACTTGAATTTGTAATGTATAAGTAAATAAAGTTCACACAACACACCATTTTAGTGGGAGAGGAAACACACATTTGGATATACAGGCCCTTCTCATAGGTTAAATTTTTATGGAATAAGGATAAATTGGGAAGGTTTGAAAATACAGTGCGTTGATTTTTGAAATAGGACAGCTATGGTGGAACAGCAAAAAAATGAAAAAATGAACTATTAATATGTTACAGAGAGAGTATATCATAGCATGCCTAAGTTCAGCCGGAGACCATAGCAATGTGGATTCCAAGTTCATGTAGTAATATAGTAATGTCCTTATATATATATATATATAAGATCCTTCAATTTGACGTTAGAAAGGTACCTAAAGCATTGATCATAAAGAATCTAAACTAAATCGAAAGCATATTCGACTTCTTTTGTAGACTTTTTTTGTTGCAGTTAATCACTTACATCAAACCATTTCTTTGGAAGAGGTTCATCACCTACGTTTCTTGAATCTCAAGCCATTTGTCAATGACCCCATCCACCGCCTCCGAAAAGGTTCTAAACCTGTTCTCCAGCTGCTACATCATCGCTCTAGGCCGGGTTATGTAGCGTGGTCAACTTTAAGTTTTACAACCGATATGAGAGACAAAGTTCAACATGGTGAGAGGCATCACAAATACAAGGTTAATGTTCTGCCTGGATTATCCACAAACCAAACCAGACATCCTTAGTAGTATGTAGTGAAAAACAATGACCACCAGAAACTGAAATTCGTGCATTAGCCATTTAGGTTAAACATCCCAATCAAAGTTTGTGTTTTTCTCTTGCAAAGCTCTTCTATTCAGCAAATGAGCAGTCCCATTACAATGACGAGGCACCCAACTCGGACAATAATCTTCATTCTGCTTAAGGAGGGATTAACATCATCCACCAGAGTTGTAGGGACATAATTGGCTTGCCGTCGCCCTCTAACCACATCACTAAGAAGCAGAGAAGTAAAAGCTGAGGTCTCATTTATTGTTCCTTATCCAAACTCAGATTAAACACAACCAAAACAATTGTCACCCAAATTGGCTTCTACATGCATCATAAATTGCAGAATAATAAACAATATCTGCGTATGGTCATCCATTTTTGCCGTTCCATGTGTAGGTCATATTCATATCCTCCTGCACGGTGGACATCTAAACAAGATTACCAACGATGGGGATCACTGATTTATTCACAAAACATGCAATTACGAATTTTCTTCAACCTTTATTAAGAGAAATGTGATTACTTAGAAATCTAAAACTATTCAACATATTTGCAAGGCATGTAAAGAGATTTCTATATACAAAGTAGGATCTTATACTGCGTGGTCGGAGAAAAGGAAGTTCACACGTCAATTGGGAACTGGAAAAAACTTGGATAAACAAATTTGATAAATTTCCAACTATGATTTCAGATCACCTGTAAATGTAACTATTTTCTGTACAAAGTTTTCTTTCTCACTAGCCCTAGATTAAAGTCTGCCCCTTCAAACAAAGACAAGGCCATAGAGCAATCGCATTGCCCCAAAACGACTCCTAATGATGCCCACAAACAAAGACAAGACCATAGAGTAAGCACATTGCTCCCAACTTTACTCCTAATGCCCTGTTAGAACAGCAGACATCCAATCCCTACCCGCACATATCAGACATTTCAAAGAGACCCTTCGAAAGACACCTGAAAATGCGCTGACTTTGGTTGCTGTGCCGATGCCGATTCAAGGCCTTGAAGCATCTTGATGACTTCAAAAGTATCATCAAGATAGTATTTTGCCATACTTGGTTTCTGACCGACAGTGCAGGCAAATACTTCTGGTATGGCAGGTGAGGATGGGTTGGCAACCGAGCTTGCAATGCTCTCAAACATATCCTCGTCAGAACGGTCATCCCCTATACACAACACGAAATCCGGTGCCTTCCCCATATTGCGCATGGTTGCAATGAGGCTTTCCACAGCTACACCTTTGCTCACACCCTGCAATTCACCAGAAGAAAACCATTCATTACAAATTAGGGAAAAGATTGAAGACAATGAAAAGAAAAAATAGAAAGGACTAGAGTTTGATGAAATTTCTTGTTTAACAAAGATAAAGAAATATTATCCACATTTTAATCAATCAAAAAGAAATAACTAGGCGCTACCACTCACAAATCAACAATTCAAGAATATCAAAGTCTTACGTACATAACTTTATCCCAGCACATTATTTGAAAAAATTTAAACATTAATAAGTCAATAAGGTAGAGGCATGCTCTTATGCTTTTTCCCCCTTCACCCAACCACAGGTAAAAGAAAAAGGTGCATGCTTTCATTAGTGGAGTTCACGATTAAAGCTCTCCCAAATCCTAGTCAGAAAGCAAATCAATTCAGTATCCTTAATTTGTTAAAATGCTTCATACCTGAGGTTTCACTTCAACAATGTGCTGGCCTCTTTTAACAAGAACGGGCTCATTTGCAAGCACATTTTCCAAATGATCAAGAAGCTCCTTTGCTTGCCATGAACCAAAATCGTGGTCAGCTTCTTGGTGATGCCACACAGTAGCACTTTCCTTCTGCTCTATAAAAGAGCCATCCGTTGCCTCTGTATAATGCTCCATTACAGGTTGGGCAATCGTTTTCCACTCAAAGTCCATTGCTAACATGCGGGACTCCCATGAAGAATCTTTTGTCCACCTACAATATGAGACACAAACCAAATCAGAAATAGTAGGATTTAACATAACACGAAGCCTAAAATTATGACTCAATTAATCAAAGAAGCTCAAGGTTACCTAGTAAAGTAGCCATGTTCTGCAGATAGACCAAGTCTCTCACATGGAGAGAACCACTTGCTTAGAGACTCCTTTCCTCTGCCACTGACGATAAACACAACATTCTTGGGATCACTGCATAAACCATTCAAGACTGAAATAACCTCCTCGCTAGGAGATTTGTCCACTAAATCCTGCGGCATCATGGTACCATCATAGTCCAGCAGGATAAGCCGGCTATTAGTCTTGTTATAAGCAGAGACAATGTGTTCTACTGAGAGCTTCCTGAAATTAGGACCCAAAGCAACAACCCTGAAACCCAAACCGAATCCAATGCCCCAACACCTCCTCAGATAATGCTCCCTACAAGCCCTCTCGAGGTCTTGGTCGAAGCTCCTAGCCCAATAAGCAACGTCATGAGAGCTAATGTACTTATAATGCTTCTCATGGCGCATTTGTTTCTCCAATCCTGGCATTGAGATTGCCATTTTCATGGCATCTGCCACACAATCGATGTTCCAAGGATTGACCCGGATTGCCCCGCTCAGAGAAGGGGAACACCCAATGAATTCTGAGACTACAATAACACTCATCCTCGGCATTGCAGACTCATCAAGTCCCAAGGCCTTATCCAAATCCGGACTGCCCTGCCTGCACACCGTGTACGTGTAAGGCACCAAATTCATACCATCCCTCACAGCATTCACCACACAACACTCCGAAATGGTATAGTATGCAACCTTGTCTTGGGTTGAAACGGGGCCATTGACGAAAACAATGGGCTCATACCCCGGCCTACCATACTTCCTATTGACTTCATTTGCAACTTTATTGATCTCATTCTGGACCTCCTGTATATCCTTACCCCGACTCCTCGCCGGATTAACAATTTGAACCAGAACAACCCTTCCCCTCAATTCAGGGTGCTCATCTAAGAGCAGCCCCATTGCTAAAAACTTCAAACTAATACCCTTGAACATATCCATATCATCAACACCTAACATCACAATTTTCCCTTCAAACTTTTCATTCAATTCTTGAACTTTTTTAGCAGTGTCAGGAAGCTCCAAAAACGATGTGAGCTGACCCATATGAATCCCAACCGGTAGAATCTTAATACTCACCGTTCGACCATAGTACTCAAGCCCAATGTACCCCCTTCTCGATTGGTAATCCAAACCCAACATTCTGCTACAACATGACAAGAAATGCCTTGCATAATCAAAAGTATGGAACCCAATCAGATCACAATTCAGTAACGCCCTAAGAATCTCATCCCGCACCGGCAATGTTCGATAAATCTCCGATGAGGGAAAGGGGCTATGGAGAAAAAACCCAAGTCTAACCCTATGATACCTTTTTCTCAAGAAAGTGGGCAAAATCATGAGGTGATAATCATGTACCCAAACATAATCCTCATCTGGGTTTATCACCTCCATGACCTTATCGGCGAAAATCTTGTTCGCCGATACATAGGCCTGCCATAGACTCCGGTCGAAACGGACTCCGTGATTCGAAGTCACCGGCAACATGTAGTGAGTCAATGGCCAAAGGTAATGTTTACAGAAACCATGATAGAACTTGTTCTGTATATCAGATGGCAAAAAAGTGGGTACGCACCGGAATTTATCAAACAGCAATTGGGCAACTTCCTCTTGCTCCGATAGGTCGATCTCGGGTTTCAAACACCCGACGTAGATGACCTCCACGTCGGCCGGAAACCCATCTTTCAGCTGCAACACCAACTCGTCTCTGTCCCAATCGAAACACCATTTATTAGTCTCTGTGTCGCGGTGAGCTTTCACTGGGAGCTGATTGGCTACGATGATTCTTCGTTCTTGAGTGACTGACGAAACCACATCGTCGCACCTCTCATCGCCATTGTTATCATCATCATAAGGTCCGTCAAAGTCCGATAAAATACCCGGAACAGTCATCACCCTGGGTATTCGGGTCCGATCTACTCCGTAGTAATCGTCGAGGTTTAAGAGATTGAAACAAGATCTTGACAGCATAATGGGTTCGAAAGAATCAAAACCCAGAAACAACAGATTGGATTTATGAGGGAAAAAAAGCCGAATATTGAGTGAGAAATAGATGTGAAATGATGAAAAAGGGTTTAGATGATTGATTTGTGTGGGTGGTGTGATTATTGGTGTGTATTATCGGTGGGTGTTACAAACTACAAGCATGTACTTCATGAATATTTGAATGGAGGAAGTATATAGAATTTTCATGAGAAATGTATATGGTAACTCATTTTGTACAAGGAAGGTGGTGGAGAGGATAAGAACGAAGACACCGACTTGGCAACACGGGAATACGTAATGGGTGGTGTGGACGGCCAGGATTGACTGGGGTTCACAATCGTGATGATCATGATCATCATCATCAATGTAGTCTAGCTTTTTTCCTTCTACTTTCTAACTGTAACCGTCCCCTCTCTCTCTCTCTCTCTCTCTCTCTCTCCATATATATATATATATAAAATAAATATATACTATAATAAATCTTTATCCTTAGACACCACTCTCACTGTACGTATAATATATCTTTATCCGTATACTTATCTACATATGTTATTAAAGTTTATCAAATCTAAATAAGTTGGTCCGGTCACAGGAGCTATTGTAATTTTAACTAGGTTTCAGCTATTGTTACCGGCAGTAGTCGGTTTGTATTCCAAAATACTAAAAATCGGTACACGAAATTATTTCTTATGTTAGGGGACTTCAACACGAGTTACGTTCGGAAAGGTGCCCACTTTAACAAAATTACCGAGTAATACACATTTCTTATGTTTACTTACTTTGATTTGAACAAGGACTAATATCATTCCTTATAATATTAATTATGAGAATGATAGTCTTCATGAAATTAATTTTCATTCACATTAAAATAATCGAAATTGTCTTATCATGGACTCCAATTTAATCTAGATGATATGAGCTATTATTTTAAAAGAAATAAAAGTTAAAATTTTGATTTTCTTTAAAAATAACTTCAAAATTTTGCTATAACTCTATCTCAATTGTTATGAGTATGTGAACGTTTTAATTGAATTTTTTAAAAAAAAAATTAAAAATCAATATGGCACGTTATAGTCATTGATTTTGTCAGTTTCATTGTGAAACTTAGAAAACTTCACTGAACTCTACAGGAAAATCGATATTGATTTTGTCAGTTTTATTGTGTAACTCACAAGATATTTGTGAATTCGACAAGCTCCGATGATTAATAATGTGCATCGCGACAATAAATAACACATCTTACAATCAATAAATAAATTCACAAGATATCCGTGAACTTTACTGTTAAATCAACAAGCTCCAACGACTAATAATATGCATCGCACCAAATAACTTATCTTACAATAAAGAAATAAAATCACAAGATATCCGTAAACTTTACTCTAAATTCAACAAGTTCCAACGACTAATATCGCGACATAAAATAACACACCTTACAATAAAGAAATAAAATCACAAGATATCCGTAAACTTTACTCTAAATTCGACAAGTTCCAACGACTAATATCGCGACATAAAATAACACATCTTACAATAAAGAAATAAAATCACAAGATATCCGTGAACTTTATTGTAAAATCGTCAAGCTCCAACGATTAATAATGTGCATTGCGACAACAAATAACGCATCATACAATAAAGAAATAAAATCAAGAGATATCCGTAAACTTCACTGTAAAATCAGTAAGCTCCAATGGTTAATAATGCGTATGACAATAGCAAATAACACATCTTATAATAAAGAAATAAAATCACAAGATATCCGTGAACTTTATTATAAAATCGACAAGCTCCAACGACTAATAACATATTAATATCCATCACCAAATAACACATCTTACAATTAAAAAAATAACAATTATAAATTTAATTTAACCCTTTCGATCTCAATTAAGTAATAGTTTTAAATACGATTTCAAAATGGCAAAATATATATTATAGTCAAAAGTTGAAAAGTTGGCAAAAGAAAAATGGTAATTTGAATTTATGTGCTGAAAAAAAAAAAAAAAAAAAATTATGTGGTCTATTATTGGTATTTTGGATTTAAAGCTTAATAAATAAATAAATACTGTAACGTTTTTTTTGGGGTCAAAGTAAAGTAAGAGAAACTGACACGTGTCGGGGTTTTATTTAAAGCTATGAGAGTTCGACTCGGTCCTGGGTGGGTAGATAGAGATGAACAGCTGGCGCGGCGCAGATTTTTCTCTGCTGGAGCTTTTCAAAAATCTTGGGGTGGGCCTTCTGGAACTGGCCACGTGTTGCTATTACAAAGGAAACGTGGCGTGTCCGTGTCGTTTAAAAGCCAAAGTCACGGACGTCCTTTGACCGCTGACCTTACGCTGATACGCGAATCCAACGGCTCCAACCGCGTCCTTTCATGAGCCGACACGTCAATTACCCCATCAACGGTTTTTGTCCGCTCATACCTTTCGTCACCCACCTCCGGAGATGTGGGTCCCACGGTTGAGTCGACGTGGCGACCGGCTTTATTGAGTCGTTATCCACAACGAGGTGTGCTTTTGTGGGACCCACTTTATCTACGGCAGGATCCAATCCTACTGGTATATGAACAAGGGCCGCATTAAAAATTCCCAAATCCAAGTGGTTACTATGAAACTCAGGCCAACAAACCTCAATTGTTTTATTACTTTAAATTCTAAATCAATGCCTATGTTGCTATACAAGTCGGTGGATTATTATTTTCCAAAAAAAAAAATTGGTGGATTATTCATTCAAGATCATTAATTTAAATTTTTTTTTTAATTTTAATTGGTCAGGAATTTACTTTTTTTTTTATTTAACACCAAACAAACAACTAATATTCAAAAACAGGAACTACATAATCTAAAAGAAGAACAGTTAACAATCACAAATGTCACATACTCCACTCTAAATCATTACATTCAACTTTAAATACATGTTTGCTCAACAAATGAGCCACCAAATTATCGCCCCGAGGAACCCACGCTAAGGATGAGCCGTGACATTCCTTAAGTAAAGAGAGAATATCAAGAGTGTCCACTGACGCCACAATCAACCGCATAACAGGCTGACAATCACCTTCCACAATCACCTTGTAATAGCCCCAACACTGGAGCAGCACAAGAGCCTCCCGAAGCATCAGACCATCTGCCAACAAGGGGCTACAAACATTAAGGAAGAAAAGTGTAGCAACCTTAACGGGATGAATTTACTCATAATCCTGCATTGTTTAACTACATATGTGTTATATGTATTATATAGATATATATAGATATTGCGTAGAGATAATAAGAAAACGTAATGCTAGTGACAATATTTTAGTCTAGATTTAAATTATCAAAAATAATAAAGTAGTATTTGCTTCTAATGAAAAAGGAGAATAAATAAGTGGTCGCTATACACGCTTGAACCAACTTCTTGATAGTATTGCTTTATAAAGTATTAATTAAAGAAGACGTGTGCTATATAAGAGAATTGAAAAAAGAACTTTTAAATATCCAAATATCAAAAGAGAAAATAAAATAAAAATATTGCCCTACAACAAAGAATGATACTATTAAAATAGCAACAACCATAAACTAGTTCTCGTTGATAAAAAAATTATGATAATGCAAATAAATATATAATAGACCAAAATCTATTAAAAAAAATTAAATACATAATTAATTATTCATTAAATAAATAAGCTATTGAGATTTAAAAATTAAATACAAATATAGGTTATAAAAAATCTCAATAAACACACTGGCTTGAAGCATTCTCATATTAAATTTTCTTTGCTTTTCAATTTCATCCAAGGGCCCTTTGAGTAGGCCAGCCTAACAAGGTCACTTTCCAACTCCATAATTTTCTGATTAGTTTTTTTTAAAAAAATTATTATTTTGATTACATTATTAAAAAAAAATTCAGTATTATTACTTTTTATGGTGAGAAATTAGGGAGAGTCAACTCGAACATGTAATGACTTAAAAATCTTTTCACAGCCCATACTAATTGTATATGATATTGCAAAACCATGTTATTATTTGGAAAACGAAAAGAAAAAAAAAAATTTGTTATTAGGCAGCACCAAATGTCTAATCCAGTTTTGATAGTTTTATGTATTATAAAAACTAGCTTGTCCTATATTAGATGCAATTTTCTTATTAATGTGCCGACAGGTCTTATAGGAGGAGAAGTTGTTTTTGTTTTGTTTTTGATAAGTGATCAATTATATTGTGATTATAATCGCACGTGCCAATTTTAATTCAAGAAAAATCTCACAAGGTCTTATATTGTGATTATAATATATATCTATATATATTACCTAAAAATAAAAATATTTTTTGAAAAATATATTTTTCGTGGATAGTAAATACTAAAATTTGCCAGCCTCATTCATTGATTCCTACATGTCAGCCTTGTGAGATTTTTCTTGAATTAAAATATATATATATATATATATATATATATATATATATTTCGATATTTTGTTAAGGTCTAGGTCGAGATTAAGGACAAGTTCAATGAGCGAAACAGGTAAAATGACTTGTTGAAAAATGTACGTTGTTAAATTTGAATATTTTTTTCTTCCTAAATATTTTACAACAATCAAATATCAGAAAATAAAAAATAAAAAAATATTTTACATCTAAACAAACAATGTCTTAGTGTTTATTTGCTCAAAACTTGTTATTCTTATTTAGAAATATATATATATATATATATATATATAATTCTCTAATGCCATAAACAAATTAAATAATGTAACATCAACAAAAATTAGGATTTTGTTGAAACTTATAAATCGATTATAAGAAGTCATCACAACTTTTAACACATTCCAATTCTTGTGCGATCAATATTGAATAGAAAAAAAAAGGTAATTGTATGATCAAAATTCAACTTTGGATGTTACAGTCTTATGATATTGACAAAAAAAAAATATATACTAAGAATTTATTTTGTAGTATTATTATTGGTTGTGGTCTATTTCATGTCGGATAAGATTTCGAATTTTCTATCTTTTCTATCTTTTCTTTCCTGAACATAGAATAGATGTGTTAGAATAGTCAATTAACGACGAACAAAAATTATTAACAAATTTTCTTCTTGAAATTTAAAAAGGCATGCGTTTGACAATAAATTGTATGTATTGCAAGTAGAACTTATCAAACTAAACTAAATCTACAATACTACCAAAATAAATGAATAAGTAATAATTTGGCTAAATATTTTAGTTGGGAATTAACAATTTAAATTTTAAACATAAATTAATGGGGTTAGATGATAAATCTCTCACATCACAATTGGGTGGTCGATATAGGGTATTTTGAAAAATCCAAAACTATTATCTTCCTTAGAAGTATTTTGAGTTACGCCAAACACAATCTCTTC